TCGCCCCCCCCCCCCATGTACCCACCACCACGTCAATGGGCGGGCCGGGGTGCACCCGCTGCTTGATGGGCGGCACGGCACCGCCGCCGCCGCAGGCACACGTCACCTTTACACGTGCCGCCGCACATACTCACGGGGGCGGGTGGGCGGGTGGTTAGGCCAAGGAGGTGGGCAAGGAGCACGTGGTGCTGGAGCAGGAGGTGACCTACGGGGAGGAGACGGGGCGCGTGCGGGAGCTCCTGGAGCGGGAGGGGGCCAAGCTGGGCGCCCGGGTGAGCATCGTCCACTTCGTGCGCTGGAAGGTGGGCGACGGCCTCGAGAAGCCCACCACCGACTTCGCCGCCGAGGTCGAGAAGGAGCTCCAGCGCTCCACCAAGCACTAGACCGCCATACAGCAGCAACTACACCGACGACGACTACTCGTACTAGTAGTAAGAGAAGTGCGCCAAGGCCAACGCCAGCAGCAGCGAGAGGTACCGGCAGACCCACGCCTTCTTCTTCTTCTGCTTCTGCTTCGATGTCATTACGACGGGGGGGGGGGCAAAGATCACTGTTTTCCGATTCGAACGGAGCACCGAGGAAGGTGGAAGCTGGGGAGGCGCGAGAGGTGGTCGGCAGCGCGCGCTCTCGCTACGGGTAGACCGGAATGTCGCGCGCGATGCCTCCGGCCGGCGTGCCCGCGGCGCCAGCGGCGCCCGTCACGCCCTGCGGCATGGCGGCGGTGCGCCAGGGCTCGGCGTAGAGCGGATTGCCGACGGCCACCGGCGTGCCGGCAGGACCCGTCATGTACGTGGCCGGCGCATAGCCCGCCGCCATCGGAACCGCCGCTGCAGCTGCCACCGGCGCCGCCGTCGTCCGCACCACAGTCGGACGGCGCTCCCGCCTCCTCCTGCCGACGCGATACGACACGCACGACCACAACACGGCCGTGAGTGAGCCATTTATGTGTATATACATACATGTGGCAAGAGGAGGAGGAGGAGGAGGAGGAGGGAACACGGGGGTTGGCTGGAGTGGGGCAGTACCAAAGGAGTGGCAGGAGGATGAGGGGCAGGACCAGGAAGAGGAAGAGGAGGAGTACGCCCACGGGCACGCCGATACCGACACCGAGGGCCACGCCCAACGCGACGGCGGTGCCGCTGCCACCTCCTCCGCGCCTGTTGATGGCGATGACTGTCTTGGCGGTGCTGGTGCGATTGCAGGTCTCCACACCGGTGCACGTCAGCGCCCCAAACTTACTCAGTCCGCACGTGTCATCCACTAGTGGTTGCCGTCAGTTAACTATGAGCAGTGCAGGCAGTGCAGGCAGGCACACGATGCAATGGCACGACCAGGCGAGGCCGGGTGAGTGGTGTACCGGTGCAGGGATCACCGTCGGTGCAGCCCAGGCAGAGGCACGAGGTGCCGCAAGGAAGGCCGAAGGGGAGGCACGGGTCGGTAGTGAGGGTGAGGGAGCCCTTGGCGGCGGCGGCGCACGCGGCCGGGAGGGTCGGGCGGGCCGACAGCGTCTGCAGGCCCCCGCTGGGGAGGGCGAACGTGCGCTCGAAGTCGCCAAAGGCAAACCGCGAGGTCGACGCCGTGTTGGCGTCCAGCCGCGGGAACGACGACGAGAGGGCCTCCACGCGGCAGCCCTGATCGCACGCCACGTAGCGCAGTCCCTGCACAACCATCATCGATAGTTTGAGAGGTAGGTGTAAGTAATGGGTGGGCGCGCACTGGGTGAGGCGATGAGGGTCGGGTCGGTCGTACCGTGGTGAAGTCTTCGAAGATGAGGAAGGAGGAGGAGGGGACGGTGAAGAGTATGGCCTCCTGGCCGGCGACGTCCCAGTACTGCACGTTCGCCGGGTAGGTCCGGCCCGACGTCCCCACCAGGTCGCTCACGAGCACGTTCTGGGCCTGGAAGGACTGCGCATGCGCTCCCAAGGCAGCGCACACCACGAGCGCCACCAGCGCCAGCACCAGGCTCCGGACCAGCTTCTTCCCGTGCGGCAAGGCTGGCGTCATTGTCACTACTACTGCCGTCGTTGGTCGTTGGTCGTGGGTACGCGGTAGCGGGTGGTTGAGGTTGGCGGATGATGCGAGGCAGGTGAGAAGGATGGAGGGCGTTCTCTCTCCGCGTCTGTGTGTTGTACAGGCGAAGAGGCCGAGAAGAGAGCGAGCGGGCCATTTATAGTCTCTTAGAACGGCCACGCCCCGGACCTCGTCGGCCGGCGGCGGAAGTGTCGGCGGACCTGCGGCGGGAGCTCTTCTTCATCAGCCAAGGCCTTACAGCTCTAGCCCACCAACGGGCACTCGCTGTCGGCGCCACTGTAGACCTTCACCCGCCGTGTGATCGCCCCGCCCCAGACCGCTCCACGCGTGCGCCAGTTCTCGCCGACCCGCCTGTGGCCCTTTACCAGCAAACAAAAACAAAAAAAAACAAAAAAAAAACAAAGGACCAGCGCTTGAAAAGGAAATTTGGGAAACCCTTTGTGTTGGTTGCGCCAACAGCAGCGCGGAGGAGAGGCCATCATACATGCGAGCTCCTCCTGCTAGGCCACTACTAGTAGTTCTCGCCCAGCGCCGATTGGAGGTCGGATCCGATTGGGGATACAGATCCCTGGGGGGTGGGCCGGGCGAAGATGGTGGTGGGACATGTCAGCCAGGGGAATGGGGGTGGTGGTGGTAGAAGAGGGTGGGTAGGGTAGGGTAGGGCTGGTTACCTGGTATTCGGGCTCCTCCTGGTAGGCGGGGTTCTCTGTGGGCTGGCCGCCCGCCGCGAACACGCCCGTCGGCACGTCCGCCACCCGGATGGTCCTGCTGCCCCTGATGATGCAGCAACCACGAAGCGCGCGCATGTTAAGGTAATATCACCACCAAGCAGCATATGTCATCGTCATCATGGCATGGTGGTGGTGGTGGTGGTGGTGGTGGTGGTGGTGGTGGTCGTGGTCGTGGTCGTGGTCGTGGTGGTGGTGGTGGAGTGATCAGGGAAAGACGCACCTGCGCCGCTTGCGGATGAGCCAGAGGGCTATGACGCACGGGATGAGCGCCAGGAGCACCACCACGGGGATGCCTGCAACACCAACAACAACAAACCACCACCACGCCCCCCCCCCAACGCGTGAGGTCTTTGCCATGGCCGGTATCGACGCTGTGCGGTGTGGGGGCGGCAACGAACCGACGCCCAGGCCCACGCCCAGACCGATGGCCACGGCGGCCCCGTGCCCGCCGTGGTGCTTCTTGCGCCGGTTGATCACGATCACCTCCGTCTGCCGCTTGCTCCGCGGTACCGCCCTCTGCTCGCAAGCGTCCGGATCGATCGTCGGCCCCTCCTCCTCTTCCTCGTTGCCGTCGTTGGCGTCGTTGTCGTCGTCCAGGTGCACCATACGATGCGCCCATTCGCAGAGGTCTGTGGATCCTTGGAACGTCTCGTCAGCATCGGCCCGCCGGCCGGCACCCGCCATGGCCGCCGCCAGCAGTTCTTGGTGGCGGGCGGAGAGCTCTCCCACCAGGTCGGGGATGAAGAAGAGCTCCCGCACGTGAGTCCCGTCCTGCAGCCTCACCCTGTAGGGCGGCCACCGCGCCAACATGACCACCACCGCACCGTCAGACAGACACCGATCCCATAAACGGAAGTGCAACGTGTGGCAGGTCGTGGTGGCTGGTCGTGGTGGCGGGTGCGCACCGAATGGGCCGATGCGGGGCGTGGTCGGTCAGCAGCAGCTCCACGTGACCTCCTGCCAGCTCCGTGCCGCCGCCGCTGCTCAGGCGGGTCCAGCCGTGCGCGGCCGAGGTCTCGGTGCGCCAGCCGGGAGGAGGAGGCGCCGCCCAGCGTTGGTCCCCTCCTCGCGTGCCCATCGAGAGCGCCTGCATCGCCGCGTCCATGAGCGCGCCCATCGTGGTTCCCGTGTCGCGCTGACTCGTGTAGTAGTAGCAGGAGTTGGAGTGGTGGTGGCCCTCTTGTGGTGGTGCTGCGGCGTCGGCCGAGTGGAGGGCGATAGCCCACCCGATCCCGGAGCTCTGGAGGAGGTCGACCACGAACACGCATCCGCCAGCGGCCATGTTGTCACCATCGCCATTGCCAGGGTCGTCGAATCCGGGCGTGTTTGAGCGTAGCGAGAGTTCCTTGATCGTCACCCGACGCGCTTCAAACGCACCGGGTGTCCCGTAGCCACGGTGTTGTTGATGCTGCTGCTGGCGGTACGCAGCGAGCGCAGCCTTGGCCAAGTCGGCAGTGAAGAGGGGCACGACGACGACGGCCACAAGCAGGAGCACGCACAGCAGACCGAATGCAGGTCCGCCCATCGAATGTGAAACGTCCAACAGTCGCCTGCAAGAGTCTCAAAAGAGGAGTTGTAGTAGTAAAGGTAGCGGTGGTGGAGAGGTAAAGCGCGTAGTGGTGGCGAGGAGATGACGTTCTAAAGGACCCTGGCCCGAGCTACAGCCCTGGGTGTGGCTGCCACCCGGTTGGGGGGGGGGCATGGTGATGAGTGGCAGAGGGCGGGGCCAGCCAGGCGGAAGCGCGTCGTGTGCGATGGACCACCGCGCGGGCTCATCGCGAACGCTGGCAGAGACCTCACGGGTACTCCTCGTGTGGTGTCTGCCCTCGTTCCCGCCCGTTTCGACGACTAGCCGTTGCTGACGTGCGGTATGTGGGCGTGCTTGGCATTCCTTACGTATCTGCCGGGTGGTTCTGCGTTTCTTCCTTGCAAACCCCGGCGTGCAGATTGCTTCTTCGCCCCCGTTTCCGTTTAGAAGGCCCTGCCCCGCCCCCCGCTGCACCTCACCGTACCGCTTTCTCCTCTCCCCCATTCAACCATGCCCAAGTCTCGCAGAAACAAGATGGGTACTGCCTCCACGCCTACGCCCAATATTGCTTGTAATTTTGGAGATTTAATCTTCATTCATCTTGGGATGATTTTACTCTGCCCTTCCTATAATTGTTTGTTTTACTCAATACTCCTCCCCGTGGTGGTCCAAGAAGCTGACGTTTCTTTTTTCCATCATTATCATCTCCTGTACCACCATCCCAGTCGCCCTGACCAAGACCGAAAAGAAGGTGGGCCGACGGAAGGAGGAACTGGTGGACAACCTGCGGAAGGGTCTCGAGGAGTATGCGTCGGTGTACGTGTTCACGTTCGAGAACATGCGCAGCACCCAGTTCAAGAGCGTGCGTGCTCGGTGGAGCGGCTCGCGCTTCTACCTGGGCAAGAACAAGGTCATGCAAATCGCCCTCGGCCGCTCCGGCCAGGACGAGGCCGCGCACGACCTGCACAAGCTCAGCCGCGTATGTCCGCCTATGTCCCTCCACGTCCACCTCCGTGTTGTGTTGTGTTGTGTTGCGTTGCATGCCATGTGGCTGCGAAACTCACGAACACTGGTTTCCCCTCTTTCTTCATCCGCGGTGGTGCAGCAACTGGTGGGCAACTCGGGTCTGTTCTTGACCAACAGCCCCGCGGACGAGGTCGCCACGTACGTGTCCTGCGCTGCCCTGCCCTGCCCTGCCCTCTTCCAGATGAAGAAGAAGCAAGAAGAAGAAGATTGCGCAATCTTGATAGGCTGACACGAGTGTGGTCGATGCGAACACCAACACAGGTTCTTCAAGGACTACGCGGAGAGCGACTACGCGCGAGCAGGCTTCGTGTCGACGCAGACGGTGGAGCTGCCGGCCGGACCGCTCCCCAACTTTGCGCACTCGATGGAGCCCCACCTGCGCAAGCTGGGCATGCCCACCCGCCTCAACAAGGGCGTGATCGAGCTCGACCGCCACTTCACCGTCTGCAAGGAGGGCGCCACCCTCACCCCCGAGCAGGCCAAGATCCTCGTACGCGCGCGCGCCCGACCACACACATCCACGTGGCCTTCTTTTCTTGTCTCGTCGTACCGGGTGGAGCTGACTTTTTTGTGCCAACAACTAACCAACAGAAACTGCTGGAGATCAAGATGTCCCAGTTCAGCATGGCGCTCAAGTGCGTGTGGAAGAGGACGAGCGACTTCGCCACAGGAGAGGGGGCCTTCGAGATGCTTGCCGCCGAGGGCTCCTCGTCCACCGGCCAGGTGGATGGCCCCGACGACGACGACGACGAAGATGACGACGACTTGTCCGAGTAGAGCACCCTCCCCACCGTACAAACAAATAATAAAAAACACCAAAATATCATCCGTGCCCCGTGGTTGGTTGACGTCCAACCACCACTCCTTCTTCTTTCTTCGTGTTCTCTTCTTGCTGGTGAAAAATGGGAATGAAATAAATAACAGCGGGAGACGAGGACGAGAGGTCGGGGTTGTGGGGTGGTTGGGTTGGGTTAGGCGAGGACGGTGTACTGGCTCCTTCGCTTGCGCACGTAGAGGACGACCAGGCCCACCACGAAGGCCAGGACCAGCACCGCTCCGATCACCGAGCCGGCGATGATCAGGTTCTTCTCCGTCTCGGGCATGGACTCTGCGGAAATTTAGAATCACCCGCGCGCGCAAATCATCAGATCATCAATTTCTTGGCAGAGAGGATGGGGGGATTGGGGCGTGAAAGCGGCGTACCGCCGTCGATGGAGAAGAACCAGGGGCTGCCCCGGATGTTGGTGCCCGCGGTGGTGACGCGCAGGCGGTAGTGCCCGGCCTTGGGCACGCTGTAGGTCACCCCGTAGGTGCCGTCGCCGTTGTCCTCCACCTTGCCCGTCCCGGTGTACGCTATGCGCCGGAAGAAGAGAACAGATTTGAGTGGTTGGCTTGGGTTGGCTTGGCTTGGCTGCAATGGTGGCGTGGCGGTGAGGGGTACCGGTGAAGCGGTCGCTGATGTCGACGAGGAAGAGGGCGCCGCCCTTGCCGAGCGAGTTGCCGAACTCGTCCACGGTGAAGATGGTGAACTTCATGTTGACGTTCTTCTCGTGCCGAGTCAGGCCCGAGCCCCGCGCCACGCAGTCCTGGGCGAAGAGCGCGCCCGGCAGCACAGTCGCCGCAAAGGGACTGCCCTTGATCTCCCTGCATGCCGCACACGCGAGTGTTGGCGGGCACGGGGCGTGGTAGGGGGGGCGGGGGCGGGGGCGGGGGCGGGGAGGGAGCACGTACTTGTCATCGAGGGACACGCCGATGGAGTACTGGCCGGCGACGACGGTGCGGTAGGAGACCAGGAACTTGCCCTTGTCTGCGGCATCGCGCGTGATGTTGTACTCCACCGCCGCCGCCTCCTCCTCCTCCTTGCCGCCAGTGCGCTGCTTCTGCTGCTGCTGCTGCTGCCTGGTGAACACCACCGTGAACGTGGCTGGACACGTGGAGAGAAAAGTGAGCACAGGCACCAACGCGGTGGTGGTAGCTGGTAGCTGCTGCTGGTGGCTGGTGGTCGCTTGGGCTGCGGTACCGTTGGACTCGGTCATGTTGTTGCCGAAGGGGTCCCTCGCCTGGATCACGAACGACCGCGTCTGGCCCACGCCGCCGCCGCTCAGGCCCGGCCCGTAGGCCACGCACTCCGGACCCCACGTGGAATTGCCTGCTCACCGCACACGTTAAACCACCAACCACCGCACACGCACACGCACACGCACTAAATGCGGGAGAACCGTCGAATGGCAGCGGGTGGCGAGGGGGGCGTGCGTACTGGGGATGACGGAGAGGGGGAAGGGCGAGCCGGCGATGTGGGCTTCGCCGAGGAAGAGTTCGAGGCTGTAGGCGCCCGCCGTGGTGACGGTGTAGGAGCCGGCGTAGGTGACGGTGCCGTTCTCGCCCGCTACGGCCTGGATCGTGACGGGCAGGTCGGCGGACCCGCCCGTGACGGCGCCCTTGAAGGCGAACGAGGGTGGGAGTCCGGCGTGGAGGGTGTTGTTGAACCGGTCGCGCGGCACGATCGAGAAGTTGCCGCTGGCGCCTGCGATGGCGAACTGCAGTCCCTCGCCCTGCGCGTAGCACTCGGCCGCCTCCGGGTCGGCCGGCACGATCGTGCAATTGGCCCACGGCGATCCTACACCACCAGCCACCACCCACCACGACGCACCACACAACGCACAACGCACGCAACGCAGGCATTGCAGGGCTGTCAGCCGTCGCCTTCCAATGCAGCGGGGAATGATGGGGAGGGGCGTGCCCTGGATGGGAATGGTGGTGGTGGCGTTGGCGACGAAGAGGACCTCGATGGAGTAGAGCCCCTGCTGGTCGATGGCGTAGGTGGCCTTGTAGAGACCCTCGTCTCCCTCGGCGGCGAAGTCGGCCTCGAGGCCGTTGGAGAATTGCGCCCTGAAGGTGGCCTCCGTGAACTGCTTGCCCACCTTATTGCCGAAGGTGTCCTTGGCCTGCACCTCGAGCGTCAGCTGCTCACCTGTACTCGCCGTCGTCATTATCATTGTCGTCGCATCGCCGCCACGCCGGATCATGGCGATGACGATGACGGTGATGGCGGTGGTGATGGTGGCGGCGGTGGTGAGAAAGATGTCAACAACAGAATAATAAATAAAAGCAGAAGCAGAAGAGGGGGAGGTGTACCGGCAATTCCTCCGGTGAAGGAGCCGGAGCCGGTGCACTGGGCGGGGTCGATGTCGGCCGGGTCGATGGTCATGGTCCACGGGCTCTCCTTGATGTCGCTGCCCTGGAAGCGGGCGTGCACGGTGTAGGCCGTGGCCGTCGTGCCGCGGTACGACACCGAGTAGGTGCCATCCCCGTTGTCCTTCAGCATCACCTCCACTGCAATCACGCGACACGATACACGACCAACGACCAACGACACGACACAGCACACAGTCGCCCGATGAGTCGTCGCTTTCGCTCTTTGCCCCCTCCCCGGCACGTGGTGGTGATTGGAATGGCGGGAGGGGAGGGCGGTACCGGGGGCGGCGAGTGGGTCGGGGGTGGTGGGATCGATGGTGACGGTAAAGTTCTCGCCGCCCACGGTGATGTTGTACCCGAACTGGTCGACGGCCTGGATGGTGAACTCGCCCTCCTGGCCCGCCACCGACTTCTCCTTGCCCGGGCCGTAGGCCTCGCTCTTGCCCGCTTCCGTGTTCCCCACTGCCTCCGCCCACGCGACACGACACACGACACACGACACACGACACACGAGGACCATCGAGGTGAGGATCAAGGTGGGTCGAAGAAGGGGGTGGGCGGCGGTACGGTAGACGTAGTCCCACGAGAGGATTTCCTGGGTCTCGCCCACGCCCTGGGTGGAGCCCGTGAAGCCCACCATCACGCCGCCGCTGATGGGGCCGAAGAGCTCGTCCAGGTCCATAGGCATGTTCATCGGCTCCAACGCTCCGTCCACCGTAATGGTCAGCTTCTGCTCTCGAACACGCACCCGCCCCACATATTATAAATTCCCCACGGCCGCCGCCAGCGCGCGCCTCAGTATTCTGGAATGCCAAGCACGCACGCGCTACGCGTTGTACGGGTAGAGGGGGGGTGCGCGTACGCCCTGGGAGTACTCGATGATGACGTTGTGCTGCTGGTTGTCGTTGAAGAACGGTTCGTTCTTGTAGGCGCCCACCGCCGCCGACTGGTAGGCCGAGTTGGTCTCATTCCCGCGCGTGTGCACCTGGTAGTGGTTGCGCGTCGGGTCGCCCAGGCTCTCGTCCTGTTATAGCATACGTTTTCGCGATTTTGCGTTGATATGCAACCATCACGTGCTGACGTCAGCACATCGATGAGGTGGATGTGGGTCGCACGCACGCAGTGCACGCACGCACCTTGAAGGTGTCGAACTCGACGGCGAGGGAGCGGCTGAGGCCGGTGACGCCGGCCTGGCCAGCGTCGCCGTAGCCGATGCCGCCGGAGCCGGGACCCACGACGCCCACCTTGCCGTCGGCGACACGCACCACGAACGCCATGCCGCCCTGGTTGCCGTTGTGTTGGAACGTGTAGTTGGTGAACCGCATCGCGAAGCTCGTGCGGAAGCTCTCGCCTCGCACCGGCTCGGAATACCTGCGGGTCGTATCGTGTGCCGTGTGTCGTGTAATGCGCTACGGCCTGAGCCCAAGGCACACCACGAGAGGAAAGGAGGAGGAGGGGGGAAGAAGAGGGTACCAGGCGGCGGCAGTGAAGAAGCCGCTGCCATCGGGGTCGTGGGTGGTGATCTGGAGGTTGCTACCCTGGATGCGCGCGCCGTTCACTGTCGTGAGAAGGGTCGTGTTGGAGAAGTCGAACTTGAACAGTTCTGTCCACACGATACAGGCACGTGTAAGTCTTACGTGACGCGATGCGCCAATCAATTGATGAGAATTTCAAGGCGCACCTCGGTCGGCTACACAGGGCTGGGCCAAGGCGAGGAAAAGGAAGAGCAAGGCCGCCAGGGTAAGGCTGAGGCGCAGGTCCATGCGAGGGAGATGCGCGTTTGCCCTCATCTTCGGCCAATGCTATGTTTGCACTTTTCGTTGGTGGATTCCTTTTCTCCTTTCTTTTCATAAAGAAAATATTCAAATCCATCATTTCGGAGTTACGGAGCTCCCTATCCGAACGCCGGGTCGAGCGCGTTTGCACAAACGACTGCCGTGTTGTTTGTTTTCAGGGTTGGTGGGTGGGAGTGGAATAGTGTTGATGGTAGTAATGTAATGTTATTTGGTTCGCGTCCTTCGTCCCGTGTTTACCAGAAGAGGTCACCAAACTCCTGCTGCTCCTTGACGAAGATCTCAAAGTACTGGTAGATGATGGTCACGGCCAGAAGGATACCGGTGCCCGAACCGATCGCGCCTGGTGTGCCACACGAACAACACCATCACCACCACCACCACCAACGTCAGTCACTCGAGCGATCGATTGAGCAAGTCATCCAACGCCAACGTCGTGTGCGGAGGAATGCTGACGATGATGAGCGCGAGGGCGTACCCATGAAGTCGGCGAGGACGGAGAGGGCTCCGATGCAGAGGCCACCGAAGGCGGCGGCGGTGGGGATGTAGCGGTTGAGCTCCTTGACGAGGGAGGAGTCGCGGTGGCCCTTCATGATCATCTGCTGGTCGCGGAGCTGCTTGGCGACGTCCTTGGCCGACGAGCCGGAGACGTCGATCCAAGTCTTGGAGAAGAGGGCGCAGGCGGTGAGGACGAAGGTGAGGTAGAAGACGGCGTGGAAGGGGTCGTGGAAGATCTCGGCCACCGAGCTGGGCGGCGAGACGTAGTAGGCGAGGCCGCCGACGGGCACGGACTGCATGTGCTGAGCGCCCTCGGACTCGTGCCACTGGCCGAGGAGGTTGACGAAGACGTTGCCGGGGTAGCGCCTGTAGAGCAGCTGGGACATGAAGTAGAGGTTGGAGACGAGGGCGGTCTGGAGGATGATGGGGATGTTGGAGGTGTAGAAGAGCTTGATGGGGTAGGTGCCGGGGCCGCTCCTCTGCCTCTGGTACTTGACGGGCAGGTCGACCCTGAAGCCCTGGAAGTAGATGACCACCATGAAGACGAGCACCGTGGCCAGCAGGTTGGTCACGTTGGGCAGGTTCTGCCTGTAGAAGGCCTCCTTGAGCGCCCTGACCTTGTCGGTCCTCGTGATCAGCAGGTGCACCAGCGCAATGAGGGCGCCCTCGAACTCGGTGCCGCGGCCGGTATTGATCGTGGTCGGGCTGAGGGCCTTCCACACGATGTTCTCGCAGATGTTGGTCGCGATGAACAGCGAAATGCCCGAGCCGAGACCGTAACCCTTCTGGAGCAGCTCATCGAGCAGGATCACGATAATACCCGAGATGAACAGCTGGATGATGATCATCAGCGCGTTGGCGGCTCCGAGCGAGGCGAGATCACCGTACATGCCCGACCACACGTAGGCGATCGACTGGCCGACAGTGATGATCATACCGAACACTACAACACAAAGCCGCACATTCGCGATCAGATCACCCGAATTGGCAGGGCCAAAAAAAAAGGAATGAAATAAAAATGGGAAGCCATTTGGACTAAACCCCTCGATATCCTCACAAGCAAACGACGGCGAGAGGGGGCACGTACGCTTCTGGGCACCGTTGAAGAGGGCGCGGTCCTCCTTGAGGCCCTGGTCGACTTCGATGATGTGGCTGCCAGCGAGAAGCTGCATGACGAGACCCGAGGTCACGATGGGAGAGATACCGAGCTCCATGAGGGTACCGCGATTCGACGCGAGAATGACACGCATCCAGTAGAAGGGATCGGCGCTGTCGGAGGAGACGATGCCGTAGAGGGGAATCTGGCAGCAGACCAAGAAGATGAACAGCGTCACGGCCGTCCACAACACTTTCTCCCTGAAGGGGATCTGGTGACGGTCAAGAGTGATTAGGCCCTCTTCCCTAACTCGAGTGAGGATTCACTGGGGGAAGGGGCAAGTAGGCGCACCTTCTTCTCAGCCTGAGCGACCTCGGGGAGGACGCCCATGAAGGGCCGCACAAGCGACAGGAAACGAACTGCATACCAGATCGAGAAAGAGAATGGTCAATTCGGACCGATCACATGAATGATTGAGCTCCACAAAAAATCGAGTAGAAAATCGTGGGTTGGGTGAGAAGACAAGATTGATCAGGGTGGCTCACCTCCGCTCATGACGAAGTGCTGTGTGGGAGTGAAAGGAGGAGTGAAGAAGATGGAGGGGTGGATCCGCTGTTTCGTGCGTGGAGGGCGTAGCAGCACTGGCCCTGCCGTGGCCTCTCTGCCTTTGCGTCGGTGGCTCCGGTCAACGCCTTTCCACGCGGAAGACCGCCACCTTACACACCCCGAAAGCTAAGCGGAGAACTTTAATCTTTTTTTTTGCCGCACAAAATAGAAAACAAAAAATAAAAGAGCTACAAATCCACAAAAGATGGAGAAAGACCCCGGCAGGCTGCCCAAGGTTGAAGAGGCCAGCAACCACCACGAGGAGGAGGAGGAAGATGACGAAGGCGAGACCCCTTGCGGCAGCGCGCCACAGAAGAAAGAGGTTTCATCCCCCCCCCACGGGGTTGCGGGAGCTGCGCCGGAAGTGCGTGCAGCTCGTGTGGCTGACGTGGGCGGCTTGGGTTGGCCAATGGGTTGTGCGGCGGACCAGTTGGAGGCGGCCAAGGGCGCCAAGGCGGGAGCAGGCAGGCGCACCTGCCAAAAGTGCAACACCGCACCCTCGGTCTTCAACTGGCGCAACGAATACATCTGCTGGTGCGATCCCTTGCATCACCACACACCCATACACCCACACACCCACACACCCACACCGCGGAGGACGTCGACGCGTGTGATGTTGACCGTATCGACTGCTGGCGTGGTGGCGTATGGTGGTGGTGGCGGTGGCGCGGTTGCAGGGCGTGCTTTCGTAATCTGTTCGACAAACGGTTCAAGACCAACTTCGTGAAGGGGCGCAAGAACAAGCGTGAACACGTGCGCCTGCTCCTCGCCTTCTCGGGCGGTCCCTCGTCCAGGTGCAGCCAGCCTCCCTCCCCCCCATGTGATTGCTTTTCCCGTCTAATCCCTGGTGGCTGGGTGCTGGTCTTGGTGGTGGATCTGGGCAGGGCGCTGCTGCACGGCGTGGCGCAGTGCACGATGGGGCGCGGCACGAAGGCCCTCTACGACGTGCACGTGCTGCACATCGACCAGTCCCGCATCACCGGCATCCCCGACGCCGACGTATATGGCCCCCACCACGCACCGTTTGCCAGCCTCCGCTCACCACCCACCAACGCGCCTGGCCTCGTGCCGCTGCTCGTGTGCGCGTGTGTGTGCGTGTGTGGTGATGCGTGCGTGTGTGTGCGCGTGCGCGTGCATGACAGCGGGTGGAGCAGCAGGAGGAAATGAAGCGGGTGGTGGAGAGCTACGGGTTGCGATTGGACATCCTCCCGCTGGAGGCCGTCACGTCGCTTCCCGGCGTCGTGCCGGAGGGAGCGGTGAAGGAGAAGGAGGAGAAGGAGGAGGAGGACAGTGGGCTTCAGCTGCAGCGACTGTTCGACCGCACCACCACCCTCACCTCGCGCGAGGACCTTCTGGCCTACCTCCGCACGCACCTTCTCGCCTCCGTCGCTGCCCAGCGCGAGTACGTCGCACATGCACCACCGCACGCGCACACGACACAAGAACACGCGCGCGCGCAAACGGAACGGACCTGACTCATCTGCGCGCGTGTCATCCAACAAAACACTCGTCATCGTCATCGTCATCGTCATCACCCAACGCAGGGCGTCGTGGGTGTGCGTCGGGGACTCGGCCACGCGCATCGCCGTGGACATGATCGCCGACACGTGCAAGGGACGAGCGTTCGGCCTCCCCGACCGCCTCTCCTTCATCGACACCCGATACCGTACGCCCCACCACCGCCTCCAATCGCTCGCCAGCTGCGCACTTACCCGACGCCCATCGGGTGACCGCACGCGGAGCCCAGCCGGCCTGCTGTGGGTGCGGCCCATGAAGGAGTTCCTGGCGCAGGAGGTCGCCCTCTACAACCACTTCGCGCAGCTGTCGGCCGTGTTCATTCCCCAGCTGGACACCAAGACCTCCAAGATGGCCTCCATCAACCACCTCGCCGAAGGTACCCACCACTCCCGTCACCACCACCACTGCTGCGGTGTGTGCGTGTGTGTGCGTGTGCGTGTGTGTGTGTCGTGGCGGCAGCTCATTGGGGGGAATGGGCGCGGGCGGGTATACTAGCGTTCCTGGCGGGGCTGCAGGCGGACTTTCCGCACACGATCCACACGCTCCTCCGCTCGGGCGACAAGCTCTCCCTCCCCGCAACCCTCCCCTCCGACTCCCGCCACTACTGCCGCTTTGCCACGGGTCCCCTCCTCCCCTCCTCCACCCCCAATTCAAATCATGGCCGCGTGATGTGGGTTTGGTTGGGTGCGGCGTGGGCTCACCCCAAAGTTCCGGACCACTACGCGCGCGCATGTAGTGCACTGGCCCCGGCGGAGGTGAAGGCGGCCTGCAAGGCCTCAGCGGCGGCGCCCAGCGTTGACGCCGCGCAGGACTCGTGCTGCGGCGGAGGTGGCGGATGCGGGGGCGGAAGTGGTGGTGGTGGCGAGGCTTCGAGCGACGGTGCCAGCTGTGGGGGCGGCGGAGGCTGCGGCAGTAGCGCCAGTTCAGGTGCGTGACCACGCACCATGTGCCCGGAAGTCGCTCTAACTCGCGCGTTACTGCAGCAACGCGGGGAGCGCAGGAACACAAACAGTCGCCCGTGGTGGTGGTGGCCGGGCTGGTGTGCTACGGCTGCCGCAAGCTGCTGGCCGAGAGCGAACCCGCCCTACTGCCCTCCTTCGTGGGGCAGCAGGCCCTGGGCCTCTCCCGTTCCCTCCGCCTCCGGTACGCGCTAGGCCAGCCGCCTAACTGATCTGCCTCCCGCCGCACGTGCCGTGGCTTGGAGCCCCGCGGCCCCGCGACTAATCGCCAAACGTGCGCGTGCAGGGAGGAAATCAGCAGCTACCTCCTGGACGACGACGACGACGGCGGCGGCGATGAGGAGGAGGATGCTGCCAGCTGATTGACACTTGAAGCAAAACTGCAACAAACAAAACTGTTCTCTTTTTATTTATTTCATTCCTTGGCTAAGGGCTTGGTGATGGCAGACACCGTTCCGTCCTCCAGACCGAAGTAAGCTGCGCCCATCAACACCAAACGGTACCACACGCGTGAGCAAAACAAGCACGCACGACACAGCACGCACCCGTGTATCGCGTGTGTCGGTCGTGCGAGAGACGTGGCCGAACCTTTCTCGGCCATGTTGATGAAGAGTCCTGTCTCCACGACGCCGGCCAGGAGCTTGATCTCCTTGTGGAGGCCCTCGGGGTCGGCGATGGTGCCGAAATCGACGTCGATGAGGAAGTTTCCGTTGTCGGTCACGCACGGACCTGCCTTGGCCGGCTCTCCCATGCGCAGCACGGGGCGTCCGCCTGTAGCAAGCCCACGCACCAGGTAAACCCCCCAATGAGGCGCCAAGGGATGGCAGCACAGAAGAAGAAGAAGAAGAAGAAGCAGAAGGGCCAGCACGCACCGAGGGTCTCGAACTTGCGCATGAGGGGCTTGTAGCTTATGGGGATGACTTCGACGGGTACGCCTTTCCGCCACTTCTCGCCCAGCAGCTTTGACTGCTTGCGGTAGTCTGCCACCACCACGAACTACAGGCCAACACGCACACGCACACACACACACGCACACAGCGGATCTCCATTGTCAGCAACAGCGGCGTGCACGCTCCAAGCAGGAGTGCAGGAGGAGACGTAACTTGCTTGGCGTTGACAGCAACGATCTTCTCCTGCGTGCAGCAGCCGCCACCGCCCTTGATGAGCTGCAGGTTGGCGTCCACTTCATCGGCTCCGTCGATGGCCACGTCGATCACCGAATGCCTGGGCTCACGCCGCGGCACATGCAAGTAGTACCGTGAGCGTGGGCACGTGTGGACAAGGCCCTACGCAGGCATTCTTGTTCTTGAGGGGGGGGGGTGTAGTACCTGGCCAGATCTCCAAGATGAAGCAATCCATGCGGGGCATCTTGAATGAGCTGGGTGGCTTGGAAGGATGTGGGAATGCACACAACCTGCCTTGCTTTACCGCCATGTGCCTTCTTGGCTTCGCCCACAATCTCGATCAATCGCTCCACCGCGTAGACGATGGTGGAGCCACTGCCGATGCCCACCACGAGCGGCGCTTCTTCGTCCACGTTCTGGAGATGTTTGGCGATGTAGTCATCCACGGCAGCATGCGCCGCCTTCTTCTTGGCTTGCTCCACCAGCGACATGCTGCTCAATCTCAACGTTTCCCGTCTTGGGCCAAAGAACGAAAAGGGAAAGCGAGAGAAGAAGGGAAAAGAAGGGAAACCAGGGTTTCCTTTTCGCCTGTGTGGTGATGGCGCATGCCGATTATGGGTTTGGGGTTGCACCTCGCGTGTCCTGGCTTCCGGCGCCAGCTTCGTTACCGCAGGCCACCAATCCGACGAGCAGAACAGTTCCGCCGAAGGCAACACCGCCGCGAGTGGTAGCTTCCGCTCTCGGAGGATCACCCACCCGACGCGCCGCGTGCGCCAGCTGCGTTGCACATCCTGCACTGCTCCCGTCACACACCTGCCACCAAACACTGGTATTTAGGTACTCGCGTACCGCAGAGCGTTCTGTATTGTTCGTACCCCAACCCAACCCATCCCACTCACCATCCCATCAGTACATACCACGCGTGGTAGTTACTGGCCCTCACACATACACACCACTGCCCAGGTACTGTTCGCCTTCTCTTTTCACCCGCGCACCCGCCCTCTTTTCGTTGGTGTGGCGACAGCAGCATCAGCAGAGACTCCTGGTCCCCGGACCTCCCGCTAATCTCAGCGGGTTCTTGGAGGTCTGTTGGCGGCTGACGGCCATCTCTACTTTTCTTGTTGTCCGCGCGTGAGGTGGCCTTGTTCCGCCTTCTGCGCCCTTCTCCACACGGCCGTGTCGCCCGAAGCGGCGCACGCTGGTCTTTCTCGGGTAGCCCCGTATTACCGAAATTTCGCTTCTGCGGTCGCATTCCAGAATTAAATTCTGGGATGATTCGGCTCGCGCCAGGATAGGGGCATTGTGCCGAAATTTCGACACGGCGATGCGGTAATCTCGGTTTTGGCGGGAGATAGCGAGAAACGCGTGGAAAGTTAGGTGGCGGCTCAACGTCAAGGCCCGCGTGAAGCGAAAAGAAGTTGCTTTCTCCCTGTCTGTCCCACCGAGCTCACCTGCTCACTTCTTTTGCTTCCTCTCTTTTTCTCTCCTGTACACATCACCCACTTCCATTCACAACACATCATCATCAGGCCCGCCACGTCGACGTCTGAGCATCGTAGACCAAAGGCGAAGAAAACTATTTAATTTGTATTTATTTAATTTGTCGCATCATCTCTCCATCTTCGGCATGAACGTTGTGCGAGCATCGTCGGGACATCAGGCCAACATCACCTCCTCCCCCATTCTCGCCTCCTCTCCCTCTGTACAACCACGAAAACACCAGCCTCCCCAGACCTCGACTTCTTCCTCGCAGCTGGCGACATCATCTTCGAGAGCCAAGCGGCAGATAGCATGCCCGCTGCCCCTCAAGGTGCCCTTCTGCGCCTCGACGACGACAACGACGAAGAGCCAGCCGAAGCAGGATGGCGTAAGCGACTTTTCCGACGCTACTCGCGGAGAGGAGTGGGAGGAAAGGAACGTGCTCTTCGACGACAACTTCGGCTACTCGGGCTGCCACCACACCTCCCCCTCTGCCAACGACGATGGTGAGTCGCTCATCAATCTCATCGAGGCCGAATGGGAGCTGGAGCAGATCTTCCGCACGGCTCCCGTCGCCGCGAACCCGCACCAGCGCCTCGCGAGGTGGATGCTCAACGACGAGGACCACCCTCTTGACCTCGAGGAAGATGGCTCGCCTTCGTGGATGCTCGCCGAGGACCACCTGCCTCGACTCGGCTTCTCGCCGCAGGAGATGATGCAAGAAGAGGAGCTGGTCGCCACACCTCCGCCTCAGCTCTTCGTCATTCCGCCGTCTCGTGCGAGGAACCCCGTGCCCCTCAACACGCCCTTCCAGGCCTCGTCGAGAGTACAGCAGTACGTGAACAGCAGCCCCTTCTACGTCGAACAGCTCAAGCAGCACCAACAGCAGCTCGCCGACTACGACTACCGCGGTCTCTACACCATCGAGCAGCGCATGGAGGAGTGCAGCCTCCTCTCGCCGTCTTCGTCGTCGCCGTCTCTCGCCCCTCCGTCGCCCTCGTCGTCTACGCTCGGCGGGCACATGCGCAAGAGGAACCGCAGCTACTCGGACAGCATGCTCAAGCGCGACAGCCTGGGCGATATGACCAACAACCTCGTGCTCGTCTCGTAGAGCAAAGAGCTCCCCGACCTCGAGGGAGAAGGAACGATTCGACCTCTACGCGCACCCGACGACCGCTACATCACACCACCACCGCTACCTGTATATAGACCCTCACCCTCACCCTCGAGACCTTCGCATCTCTGCCTACTCTTCGCGGCCGATCGGTCCGCTGTGCGACTAGTTCCCTTCACCACCACCTCCTCCTGTTAATACCCTCTCTCTCTCTCTCTCCACTACTTCTCTCCTCCTTCACCCCTCTCACTTATAAATATTGTGAATACTTTGTGCAAAGCCAATGTCACACGGCGCTGGCCTCTCCGTCTGGAGGGTACAGCGCCAGGACAAGTAAATAGCTCTACAGTAAATATGTAAACTCCCTTTCACCACCTCGCCCCTCTACTTCTTCTTCTGTGCGTGCATTGTTAGTGTGGTGGTGGAAGTTGGTTGTGGTGCAAGCGGTTACTCGCCCTGGTGTGTCAGCTGCGGTTCAGTTGTCGAGGTGGCGGTAGGCCCAGCGGAGGCGTTGGAGGATGGTGACGGCCACCAGCGAGCCGAACAGCACGAACAACGCCGTCAGGTGCTGCGGCAACGCTGTGGTTGGGTGTTGCGGTGTGAATGATCGTTGCGGTGAGCCGTGAATGGCCCCACAGAGAATGAGCTGCAAGAGAAGAAGGAGACGACTCACCAATGAAGAGGGAGTAGAAGATTATCGTCTCTGTTCCTTCGATCAGGCCAACGGGCATGGTCAGCGTCGTCTTTTCTCCTGTACGTACGGCCACGCACACAACACCCAATAAACTTGTCAAGCCAGGCACAACAACGCGTCGCCGCCACACCAAGCGCTTGCCTTGGTGCCCGGCGATGGTACCTCGAGTCTGTGCGCCCAGGTTGCGCTTCTCGAGGATGCCCCCGAGCATGAACAGGGAAGCCGCGTTGATGAAGTAGGTGCCCTGCCCCAGGTCAAGAAGAGGGTGTCGGTCAGATCACGCCACGCCAACAGGGAAGGGGTGTGGGACGTACGAGGAGGAACGACAAACTGGCCAGCAGCCAGAACAGAGGACCCCACGACGTGCCGTCCGCCGCCTTGAACCCGCAGCCTGGCCAACCTTGCAAGGCGTTCACGTAGAAAACAAATAACCTTGTTTTCTTTTGTAGAGAAGAGCAGACGTGCCAGCAAGGAGAACAGTTGGTCTACCTCGACTGGGCACGTCGATGGTGGCGTTGGAGCAAGCGCTGGTGACTTGAAAGAAGGCGAGATCGATGGGGATGGTTGTGTAGACGATGAAATCGCAGATGATGTCCAGGTAGCCTCCGAAATCGGTCTGCCGGCGAAGATGTCGTGCTACGGCACCATCCACGCCGTCCACCACGCGATTGAGCCACCACAGCACCAGTGCCGTGTTGAGTCGCCCCTCCAGGCAGAAGTGGCCGGCGAGGATGCCCAGAACGAACGAGATGAGGGTCAACTGGTTGGGCGTGAGGCCCAGCCGCGCAATGCGCCCAACCAGCGGCTGCAGGAAGCGCTCCTTGAGCAGTCGCAGCTCTTGATCTAACATCCTCCAGGTCCAATATTAATTTTATTTAATCTTGCAAGAAAAATAAAGAACTTTTTTTTGAAACAAGTGGCTACAAGTGGCCAGCGCCCACGACGTGGATGAGGTAGTGGTAGATGAAGGGGCCGCTCACGAAGAAGGCGTCGAAGCGGTCGAGAATGCCGCCGTGGCCGGGGAAGAAGACGCCCGAGTCCTTGATGTTGCCCATGCGCTTGATGAGGGACTCGATCGCATCGCCGAAGATGCCCAGGCAGCTGGTCAGCAGCGCGAGGCCGATGTAGTGGATCGTGTCGTAGGGCGGCAGCCTGCAGGCACACGCACATGTGATGTTATTAATTATCATTAGAGACCACCGGGCTGAGCTGGTCAGCGCAATTGGCTTTGTAGCGAGGAGAGCGTGCTTGTCGGTGACGCCAGAGAGCTGCATCTGCTTGAATCCGTAGCACAGCAAAACGGCGAAGACGATCTCGGCAATGATTCCCTCCCAGGACTGGACGACGCACGGCGACGAGCCAGGTCAGTCTGCCGCCAGCCAACACCACGCATTCCAGAGAGGCGACAGAACAAGGGAAGACCGTGTGGGTCAAGGCATTACCTTGTTCGGGGAGACGTTGGGCATGGCCTTGTGCCGGCCAAAGTTCTTACCCACGTAGTAGGCGGCGCCATCGCCGATCCACCCGGTCAGCAACAACATCACCAGTATGCTACCGCCATAGGCTACACACACACACACACACACACACACCAAAGAGAGAGAGGAGTCAGCACACAGAACAACACGCACAGCAACAACAAGCGGGGCGAGCTGTACGGCTGGTGTGGTAAATGGCGGGGCAGTGGGAAATGGTCCAGGCGATCCACACCCAGCCGAAGAGGTAGAAGGCGAGGTTGCGCACGGTGTTGGGCGGGAGCGGGTTGTGGCCCTCCTGCACCGTCTTGAAGAGGAAGAAGCAGAGGATGATCACGAAGGCCAGCGCCAGGCCGAGGCTCAGCCCCAGCTCGGACAGGAAGTGGCACAGCACCACCTGCAGACCGCCTGCGAACGTTCATACCCCCCCCCGAGTAGCACGCTTGAACGATTAGCCGAAGCTCTACTTCGAGAAGAGACGAGACGAGATGAGACGGGCACGCACCGAGGAGCTGCACGAGTCTGTCCATGCGCGAGAACTTGTACTTCTTCTTGGCGCCCTCCTCCTTGCTCGCCCTACGCGGCGTAGAGATGAGCAAGATTTCCTTCTGGATGGCTAGCCGCAAGGGTTGGGAGAGAGTGTTAAGAAGCGGAAGGGGAACCTGGCGGGGATGAGGCACTCGATAAACTCGCCCAAGCCCTTGGTGACCATGATGGTCATGAAGATGTGAATCACATTGGGCACGTAGACGGCGGAGACGATGACGAAGGGCACGTAGAATGCCGCCGTAGTCAGCCTGAGGAGGTGATTCCGGGCCGGTGATGGGTCGTCCTCGAAGGTGGGTCCATTATCTACGAAAAAATCAGTGATTGAGGGCAAAAAAATGAGAAACAAAATAACAGCCGCGATCTGCGATTAAGCATCTGGGGCAGTTACCGACGAAGAGGGCGCGGTAGATGACGTAGCCCAAACCGAGCCACGAAAACGCCTGCATCCATAGTGCCGTCGTTTCGTCCGCCATTGTGTGCGTTGAATTTATTGATCGTTGAAAATGTTCTTTTTAGCGAAAGGAAAAAATGAGGTATTTACTGGCGAGGCTGACGTGGCCTGTGCTGTCCGTGGGCCAAAGGAAAGGCCACGTCCACGTGGAATGCATGGAGCACATTCCGAACGCTGGTGGCATCAGTTGAGGAGGCTGTAGATGGACGACCTCCTTCGCTCCTGTGGTGGCGAAGCTTCCGAGTTGCAGCCTCCTCTCGCCACAGTGCTGCTGCTCGCAACGTGTTTGTTGTCGTCGGTGAGTTCCTCTTCTTCCCGTGTCTCTCGGTGCTTGCGCATCGTGTGGCGGAATCGCAGACCGCACGCGTTGCACAATCTGCGTGTACAGGAACGAACGCACAGTGTGAATCGGCATGCTTAAGTAAGTGCGGCGAGCACTCCAATTTTTGCACAACGCACGTTGCTCGTCCATCAGCGCCACTCCTCCACTGTGGTGTGCGACACAGAAACATGAAACGGGGCGGTCATGAGCCAGAGGGCGGGGGTGGGCTCGGCCTGCGGCATCATGGTACGTACCTGCACCGTTTCGGTGGCGCTGCACACGGCACACGCGCGACGCACGCCGCGGGGCAGGCTCGGACCCCGATTGCGCCGCTTGCGAATGGCCGGCGCGCACTGGCCCATGAACGCATCTCGAGCGTGGGCCGAGGCCAAGAGCTGCTCGCCCTGGAGGCGCACAAGAGGAGCGCTCAGGCTCTCAAAATTTGTAGCGGAAGACGTCGAAGATGATGCAGAAGAGAAAAGAAAAGAAGGCGAAGAGTAGGGCTGCTGCTCCGGGACGTCGACGGTTGGCGGTGATGATGGGGAGGAAGGAGTTGAAGATGAGCGGAGGTAGGTGACCGAGAGTTGTCGGATGGCGTCGGTGTGGTGGTTGAGCAGCACGAGGTCCTCGCCTGATAGGCTGCCATGCTTATTGGCCTTCATGGCCAGCAGGCTCACGTCGAACGCCGCCCCGAGCAGCTGTGAGTTGCCCCTACCACCACCCCCGTGGGCGGCGGGCGCCAGTCGCATGAGGGGAGCGGGAGACAGCGTGGCGGCCATGAAGACGAGCCCCTGCCGCTCTGCCTCCCCTTCATGAAGGTGATGCCGGGATGATGGAGGAAGAGGAGGTGGTGGTTGCCGGTGGAGCTTCGCGCCGTCTGCCCCTTCACTGTGGTCCGAGCTGAGCAAGGTGCTCTTCATGGTCTGGTGGGCGAGTGCTGATGATGAGCCGATGACCGGTGGGGTGAATGCTGGCTCAGCCGTGGGTAGCACCAGAGGTTTGGTCCAGGGCCTGGTGGGTGCCGTAGGAAACAATGAGGAGCAGAACAAGTGCGTCACCATCAGGAATGCAAGCAGCAGCCATCCGGAATGGTGAACAACTTGTCAAATCCACCTCGCTTTCCAGCAGTCTCCGCAGTTCACGTTACAGTGTTAGATGACGCGTGCGGAACTTATTGCTATCTCGCGGGACTGAGCTCCAGTGCGCTTGGGTGCACCCAAGCCAAACTCGCCAACAATGAGCTCTCTGGTCCGTGTCTCCTGTTTCCACCGACCAATGGGATATCGTTTAAGATCGAATTTCTGGTCAGTTTCCACGTATGTGCAGGCAAACTGCATCGCAAATTCGGCATTGTGCTTCAATGGCGAGGCTTGGATAGGGGGGTCCCAGATGGCTCCTGTCCTTATCTTGCCCAAAACCCGTGTTCTGCTCCAAACTTCGTTCCAGACGAACTAGAGTTAAGACCTCTCTCTTTCCCTACTAGCGCAGCAAAGGACCCCAACCACCACCGCCACACGCGCCAATTCTTCCTCTCTCCTTTTCTGTCTCGCACAAGACAGCGATATATCTTCGGCTCACTTGACGCCCCACCAACTCCACTCTCCATCTTATCAACACAACACACACCTCGAGCGACACACCATTGCATTGCGATATAACGATGATGTTCGACACTCCGACCATCTCCCACCAGCCGCCCACGCCGCCCGGCTCGCCCAACCCGCCCTCGCCGTCATCGCCGCCTCCGTTGGCCGCCGGCGGGGTGGTGCGCGCGGAGTTGGCGCAGCAGGCCAATGAGGTGTGCCAGCTGGTGGCCAAGGCCAACCGCGCCCCCAACGGCCTCCACGCCGACGAACTCCGACGCCTCCTGAGCGACATCCACTCCCTCCACCTCCTCGCCCAACAACTCTCCTCCTCCTCCTCTTCTTCTACTTCATCTATTTCTACTTCCACTACTTCATCATCGCCGTCACGGGGCATCGCCAAGAAGAAGCAGGTCCATCACGCCTCGGTCCTGTCTCGGCCACTCGCAGCCCTCTCGTCGTCGTCGCCGTCGCCTGCGTCGTCGTCGGCCTGGTGCGCCACATCATTGCCCCCGGTCCCGACAGGCTCTTCGACGACGACCACATCAGCAGCCGCGGCCACGGCGGCGGCGCGTGCCTGCCACACGCCCATCCGACCACGGGGCCACCCGCTGCCGACGGCGGCCACGGCCACGACCGCGGCAACGAGCGGCTCGTCGTGCCTCTCGCCCGAGATCGGGGCCGGCCCGCGGGCGTGCGCCAACTGCGGCACCTCGAGCACCGTCCAATGGCGATGCGGCGCTGACGGCAAGCCCTCGTACGCACCTCCTCTCATTTTCTCTCTTTTTTTATTTATATAATATAAAAAGCTGACGTCACCTCCTCCACCCATCGCCCAGGCTGTGCAACGCGTGCGGGCTGCGGTACCGGTACAACCTCAAGAAGAAGGCCCTCTACGAGGACATCGCGGTGGTGCGGGCCATGACCCAGCGATCGCCGCCCTTTGCTCAGCACAACCACCACAACCAGCGCACCCACTCGCCACCCTCTTCTTTGGCTTCCGCTTCACCCTCGTCGGCCTCCTCCCCCTCCGCCTCGCGATCGCCCTCGCCGCCGCCTCCTTCCGTTCCCTCCACCGCCGGCTGCCCACCGCGGCCAGTACCCGCCCCGAGCACCGCCGCCGCCGCCACCACCAGCGCACCTGCCGACGCGAGCGGCGAGGCGCGGAGATCCAACATTTACAGCCTCCTCAATTGATCATAGTAAAGTTAAAAGCAATGCAACACAACAACCACAAACATCCTCATTAAGGTTGATTCGATCACACACATCAATGTTGGCCACCCTTAATATTCGTATTAGTATGCTGTCATCACAGATCGCAGGCGGTGGTGGCCTGGAAGAGGTCGTGGAAGAGCTCGCACACGTCGCTCCACTTGTCGCCCTGGGCCAGCTGCGAGAGCTGCTTCTCGGCGCACACCACGAGCTGCCGCAGCTCTCCCAGCACACGCTCCCGCTGCTCCCGCTGCTGCTGCTGCTGCTGCACCTGCGACGACGCGTCGCTGCCGTCTCCCTCCTCGCCCTGCGCCAGCCGGTCCAGCAATCGGAGCCTCGCCTCCACCAGCTGCCCCACATCTGCCCATTGTCGTCAATCGCGTGCGTGCGGCCAAGCGCCGGGTGCGTGTGCGGTGGTGCGTGTGCGGTGGTGCGTGGTGCGTTCGTACATTGAGACATGGCGCAGTAGTAGGGGAGGGCCTTGCACAGCTGGGCGTAGGAGTTGCGCTGCCGCGATCGCGCCTTGCGGGAGTCCACCAAACCCTTCAGCTCGGCGAACCGCTCCTCGATCTGTGGCGCGCAACACACATGCACGAAGCTTGAGGCTCAACACGCACGCACACACACACACACACATAACACACACACACACACACACAACTCACAACACACAACGCACAACGCACAACACACAACACACACACACACAAGCCACAAGCAGAAGGCAAGGCGACCTTGGAGATGAGGCGTTCCGAGAGGGTGACGACGATGCGCAGCTGTACGATGGCCGCGAGCTCGAAGGACGACAGGAAGAGGGTGGGAAGCCGCAGCAGCCCGCTCGCCCGCGCCCTCTCTAACCCCCCGCCGCTCCCGGCGGCGGCGTCGTCGTTGGCGAAGAGCAGCCCCCGCTCGCCGAACCGTTCGCGGCCCAGCGCCAGCGGGTCGGTGGGCCATGGGCCGTGGCGGCCGGCGAACGCGGCCCATGCGTCGAAGTAGTGCACGAGCTTGCGCACGAGCACGTCCTTGGTGTGGAACGACGACGCGTAGCCGTCGTAGAAGGCCACGACCCGTGCGAACAGCGACGCGTCGTCGTCGTCGGCGCCGCCATCACCATCGGCGGCGGCGGCGGCCTGCTCGGGCCGGTCGTAGCGGAGACACAGACGGGCGACGAGGCCCAGCACCCGATCGCATAGCAACCGCGAAATGCCCGCGGGGTCGGCCTCCTGTACCGCGGTGGTGCATCAGAGATGGTCAGGAATGCACACGCACGCACGTCGAGGAATGCACACGGACGCCGTGGCGCGATGGTGGAATGCGAGGCATGCCAGGGTGGCGTACGCCGTGGGAGATGCGGTCGCGCAGGCGCGGGCCTTCGGGGCACACGAAGAAGTCCCACAGGGCCGTCATGATCGAGTCGCCCAGCTCCTGCGCTCATCATCAGATTGCGAGAGTGGGCCAAAATCGTGAGCGCGCGTTCAGCTCTTAACTCCAGCGCGCGTTCAGCCCCAGGGGACGACGACGTCGGAGCAAGCTTTAGCAGTCAGTCAGTACCTGGCGGAGGAGGTTGGGTCGGCCCGTGGCCTCGACCGTTGGCCCCACGATCACGTCGAGCGTCGTGTAGTAGTCGTACATCACTATTAGGGGCATATATAACGCCACCTATCAACATTCAAATCAAGCATGCAAGCTCTTTCAAATCTTGGCTGGGAATGGCGGAGAGGTACCGGCGGTGAGGAGGGGCGGCGGGAGGGCGTTGGCGGAGACGTAGAGGCGCCGCAGGCAGTGCTCGAGCGCGGGCAGGGCGCACACGAGGCATTGGTAGTACTGCTTCGCTCGCTCGAGCGCGTCGATGGCCGACTCGAGCAGGAAGCGGCTGTGGTCCACGACGAAGCCCGAGCGGCGCAGCAGCCGACGCACGGCGGCCAACGCCCGCCCGTCGTTGTCTTCATGGCCGCCGCGATCATCGCCGTCAGCCAATAGCACGCAGCCGCCACTCTCGGCGCGCCACGTCAGCTCGACCAACGGCGCGATAGCGAGAAGCGGCCGGGCGGAGGGCCGGTAATGATGATGGGAGTGCCGGCCGCCGCCGCCGCCGCCGGTGGTGGTGGTGGGGTCGCCGACGGGGCGCGGCGACGGGACGAGGGAGAGGGAGAGGGCGAGGGCGAGAATGAGCGACACGTAGCCCGGGTAGAAGTCGGCTTCGCTCAGGAATCCGTGCCACGCCACATTCCTGATGTTGAGGCCCAGCGGCGTACCGATCAACGAGCGCAGCACCCCGACCTGTCAGTCCACCATCTCCCGAGTGAGATCTCTCTCGGCGGTGACGATGAAGAAAGCGAAGACGCAGAACAAAGAATACAGAATACCTTCCGTGGGCCGAATAGTGCGTTGAGCTGCGGGGCGAGCAGGAGATCCCGCAAGATGAGCCGACCGTCGCCCCGGCCCTACACACGCGACGCACGACACGACGCACGACACGACCAACGACCAACGGCACACGCGAGGTGCGTGAAATGCGTGAGATGCGCACGGGCGGACGACCAAGGGCTGAAGATGGCCCAGCGTGCGTGCGTGCGTGGAAGTACCTTGGTGGCGGCCAGGTAGAGGTCGGAGATGTGGCGCTCGATGAGGGGCGCCAGCTGCAGCAGCGCCTCGATCGACTTGCCCTCCCGATGTAGCGCGAACACCTGCGGCAGCTGTTGTCCCGTGCGTGAGCGTCTGTGCGTGTGCGTGTGCGTGTGCGTGTGTGTGTGCTGTGTGCTGTGTGTGTTGTGTGTTGTGCGTGTGCGTGTGTGTGCGTGTGTGCGTGTGTGCAGTGGTGGTGGTGTGGACCTCGGGGGCGTGGTGGTGGAAGGCCGGAAAGCGCGAGGCGTAGGTGGCCTCGAACGTCTCCGAAGTGAGCGACATCATATACCTGCGTGGCGTGATGAGCACACAACCAACGACACGACACGCAACACGACACCCAACTCGACACGACACGACACGTGAGTGGTGTGCATGGGGGGGGGGGGCGTACCGGTGTACGTGCGGGGCGGCCTTCTGGAGGAGGAGTGCGGTGCGCATGATGTGCTCCCACTGGTCGAGGTCGTACGTGCGCGCCTCCTCGGAGAGCTTCTTCTCCCGCTCGCCCGCCGCCCCGCCCTCCCCCTCCTCCGCTCCCGCCAACGCCTCCTCCCGCTCGAGCCGCGCAATCTCCCGCTCAGCCTCCGTCTCCGCTGACCCGCCGCCGCCGCCGGCGGCGGCATTGCCCTTGCCCTTCCTACCCCCGCCGCCGCCGCCGCCGCCCGGTCGCGGCTGCCCTCGGCCCTGGCCCGCCGCGGCCTCTGCTGATGTTGACGTGTCGATAGCCGCGGCCGCGGCCGTGGGAGGAGCTCCTGATGCTGGTGGTGGTGATGGTGCTGAGGCAGCGGCCTTGGCGGCGTGCTCGGCGAGTTTGTCGTTGAGGATGGCGCGCATGCGGGCCACCACTTCCTCGTCGCTCTGCCCCGGTCCGACGTGAGCAACACCCAACACCACGAAGACGAAGAAGAAGATGAAAGTGGTGCTTTGGTGGGGTTGGTGGGGGGGGGGTACGAGGGTTTCTTCGGAGGTGGGCACGTAGGCATCGAGCATGGCCCAGTTGAAGGAGCCGTCGTCGTTCATCCAGGACCCCTCCTCGTGCGTTTTCTTCGCTGCCGTCTCGTCGTCCCCTTGGCCGGTGGTGGTGCACGCTGCAGCCGGGAGGAGGTGCCGGCGCACGGGCGTCACCAGCAGCTGCTCGACAGGCGGCGACAGCGACGACTTCATCATCTCATGGCGAACTGTTTTATTTTAGATTTTTGTTTGGTTGTTTTCCTTTTTTTTTATTAGCTTCGCTGAACTTGTGAGCCGCGTGGCACGCATTCTTTGAAAAAGCTCAGATTTTGTTCCCCCAGCACCACTGCTGACGTCAGCAATCTCATTTCCCTTTCTTTTTCCCCTCTCCTTCAGCCTTGCCTGTTGGCTAATTTCGAAGAAGAACGACCCAACAATTTAGGCCACACACCACACTAAACAAACAGACAGACACAACAAACACGACAACAACAAATATGGCGTCCGGCTTCCCTATTCTTCGCGACGTGGTGGCGTATCCCACCCTGGCCGTGGCCGCCTCGCTCGTGGTCTACCAGTGGCAGTGCGTGGCCGTCGGCCTGGCGCGCCACAAGTACGGCGTGGCGGCCCCCAAGACCACCGGCAACGACGACTTCGAGCGCGTTTTCCGCACCCAGCAGAACACGCTCGAGGCTCTGGTCATCTTCGTGCCCTCGGTCTACACGTTCTCCTACTTCGTGCACCCGGTGGGCGCGGGCGTGCTGGGCGGCGTGTTTGCGGTGGGCCGACTGATCTACGGCCTGGGCTACGCCAAGCAGGCCGAGAAGAGGAGCGCGGGCTTCGCCCTCTCCCTCCTCGCCAACGCCGTTCTCCTCGGTGGCACCGTCTATGGCGTCGGCCGCTACCTCCTCACTCGCCCCTGCTAATTGCTCCCCCTTGCTTATTTTGCGATCCATTCAAATAGATGATTGCAGGCCTGCAAGACGTGTCAGATCTAATGCGCCGCACTGCCCATTCGTGCCCGAAGCTCAACTGAATGCATTCGTCAATGTTGCGAGCGGTGTGGCAATTCCTTTTCTTTGGGCAATTCCTTGTTGCTACTCCGAAAGTCCAACAGTCCGGAATAGTGACAGCTCGCGTAGCCAAGCGTGGGAGCTCACATCTTGTGTGTGTCAGCGCAAGACAACGGGCAGCGGCGTGCAAGAAGCGCCCCATCTCGCAGCAACCAGCCACGCCCAATCTTTCTCTTCACCTCTTTGTTTTTTTAAAACAATTCTTCTCTTTCTTTCTTTTTTCGATTTCGGGCAAGAGATTCTCGCGTAGAGAGAGATCTTCATTTCCGCGAGCGAAGTCGCATCAGCATCGAGTAGTACATACATATATACAGTAAGAAGATGATGGAGCCGAACAAGAAAGAGGAGCCCATGTTCCCTGCGCGAACCCCCAAACAGAAGAAGCACCACGGGGCTGTCATCGGCGATCGACCTCTGCCGCCTCACATGCGAAAGGAGGCAGCAGCCACACACAAATCCAACTCCACCTCTTCTCTCTACGTGGACAGCACAATCACCTCTCCCGATATCGACCAGGTCCTCTACTGGTATGCTGCCCTCTTCACGTTTTCCCCCAACACGGCATCAATTGGAATTGATGGCAAATCTATATTCAATTATTGCTGCAGTATGTCGACCGCTGTGTACTACCACATACGGGCAGGCCATGAAGCTCCGCAGCTCAAGCTCATCGACATCTTTAGCGAAGAGATCTATCCCATCTACGTAAGGCTCTTCCGCTCTGATTTCATTAATTAATTTTCTTTTTTCCATTAAAATCTGCGGAGTGCTGATTTTGCCTTCGCTTCTGCTTGTGGGCCGGTTCCGCAGCTCAAGGATCAGCGGGAGCCCAACGACACGCGAGCGGTGCCCCGCCTGCGGGTCATCTTCAAGTTCATCGACACTATCTTCAAAGTGCAGAAGGTGCGTTGCGTTGTGGGGGTGCCGCCAGTCATTCACCAACGCTCTAGAGGAAGCTGTATCGACAGCGACGGCATCAGTCTCTCACTCGCTTTATGCGCGTCTTCTTCCGTCTCACCACCCGCCACAGCTCCCCAGCGAATGCGCGATCCTGGCGCTGGCCTACACCGAGCGACTGATCGGCCTCTCGGGGATCACCCTCCACGCCTCCAACTGGCGTCGCGTCGTCCTCTCCACAATCATCCTCGCCTCCAAGGGTACACACACACTCACACACACTGCACCGTGTCGTTTTGAAGATCGCTCACGACCAACGACACGACACGACACGACAGTGTGGGAGGACCTGGCGGTGTGGAATGTGGACTTTGTGTCGATCTTCAAGAACCTGAACATCAAGGACCTGGGCTTCCTCGAGAAGCAGCTGCTGAAGCTCCTCGAGTACAACGTCTCAGTGCCCTCCTCCCTGTACGCTAAATACTACTTTGAGCTCCGCGAGCTCGCCGAGAAGGACTCCAAGAACTTCCCCCTCACGCCCCTCGACAAGGACCGAGCAGAGCAACTCGAAGTACGCCGTGTGCCGTGCGGGTCGTGTCACGGATTTCTTCTAACGCGTGTCGTCGTTGTCGTCTTCGTTGTTTGTTTGTTTAGGAACGCGCGCGTGCGATCGACGAGAACTGGGCGCAAAAGAAGAAGAGGCTGAGCGTGCCAATCCGTCACTCGACGGGCGAGATCGGACACCACAAGTCGCCCATCGTCGTGCTCAACCTCAACAAGGAGAAGAAGGACGACTGAGCAGCCCTCCCCCCATCCAGCCTGCCGCACCCCGTCTCCTCATCGGGCCGAAGAGAACACGGGACAAAAATCGACTTCAACACAACGGATGCACCACCACCACGAGGGAAATAGTAGGCTCGCGGCTACGACACGACGCACGCTACTCTACTGACGGCAGATCTGCCGTTTTCTTTCGCGTTCGTTCTTTCTCTTCTCCTTCGTTCTCTCTTTTTGATCGCGCGGCGGCTGTTCCTTCCTCTTCCCCTCCTCCTCCTCCATCGTGCGTCGTTCGTTCGATCAAAAAAAAGAAAACAACATCCGTGCTCGGTGTGTTCTGCTCGCCGTGGGTCACTTTTATTCCAGCCTTGGCCAGGCCAAGCTCGATGATGATTACGATTATGAAATGATTATGATTCACGGGCCGGAGGAGGTCGAAGAAGAAGAAGAAGAATGGCGGGCTGCTGCTTCGTCTTCCTCCTGCCGCCGCTTCTCCTCGATGAGGCGCACCACTTCGGTGTGGCCGCGGTCGGTGGCGACGATGAGGGCCGTGTCGCCGTTGTGGCGCACCTCGTGGATGTTGGCGTCCTTGGCCAGCAGCAAACGTACGATCTCCGTGTGCCCGTTGTCTGCGGCGCCCATCAGCGCCGTCCAGCCGTCGTTGGTGATCGCGTTCACGTTCGCGCCGTGCGCCAGAAGCAGCGCCACGATCTTGGCATGCCCTGTGTGGTGGGGGCGGGGACGAGTTCGTCAGCCACGCACGTACGCACACACGCCGAACGACACGCGTGTGGCGCGCGGCTGCGTACCCTTGTCGGCGGCGCCCATGAGCGCAGTGACGCCCAGGTTGGCGGTGGCGTTCACGTTGGCGTCCACCGTCAGGAGCAGCTGGACCACCGACTCACGGCCCTGCCACCACCAGGCCCGCAGGCGAGCGTGAGAACGGTGCATTCCTCCCGTGCACGTGCGCACTGGGGGCGCGAACGTACCTTGTAGGAGGCGGTCATGAGGGCGGTGAGGCCGTCGTTGGTGGCGGCGGTCACGTCGGCTTGCTTGGCCAGAAGGCTCGACACGATCTGGTGGTGGCCCTTGTTCGCCGCGATGATCAACGCCGTCCACCCCTGAACACGACACGACACACGCGCGTGCATCAGTTCGTGTCGTGTGTCGTGTCGTTGGTCGTGTCGTGTGGTACGTACCTTGCTGGAGGCGATGTTGACCTGGGCGGAGTGGGCGAGGAGAAAGTCGACGATTCCCAGGTGTCCCTTCTCCGAGGCGAACATGAGGGCCGTGCATCCGCCCGTGGTCGTGGCGTTCACGTCGGCCCCATGCGCCACCAGGAATTCGACTTCGTCAGACTTTCCCTTGTTTGCTGCAATCATCAGAGCTGACGCCACGCAACACACGCAACACACACAACACACATCGCCCAGTCAGCAAAAAAGCGTGTGCCGTGCGTGCGGTGCGTGTCGTGCGTGTCGTGCGTGTCGCACCTGTCCATCCCGCGGGAGTGGACGCGTTAACCTTGGCCTGGTTTAACACGAGAAACCTCACCACTTCGATGTGTCCGCCCTCCACGGCGGCCATCAACGGTGTTCTGCGCCCAAGGGTCGCACGTTAGCACTCATGTCGTTGGTCGTGTCGTGTCGTGTCGAGTCGTGTCGTGTGAGGTGGGCGCGTACCTCTGGTACTGGTCCGAGATGAACAGGAGGTTGATGTTGAGGATGGAGGCGTACTTGGAGTACAGATCGACCACCTTGCGAATGTGTCCGTGCTTACACGCCCACACAAACTGCTGCTGTCGATTCCTGTTGACATTCGCGTGTCGTGTCGTTGGTCGTGTCGTGTCGTGTCGTGTGTCAACGAACGCCCAAAAACAGGGAAAAGTGTGACGATGACGAACCTGCGCTCCTCGTCGAGGATCTTGGCCTTGTACTCGTCCAGGAGTTTGTTGATCTTGGCTTGCGAGTCGCTCTCCATGCGTTGCACGTGGCGCATCAGGGCGATGCACTCGGCCTTCCACGGCCGCTCGCGCTGCCACTCTCTCGCCCCTTTGTTGCAACCAAGAGCAGAAAATAATTAATTAGTCAAAAGAAAAGGCCTGATTGGTTTGAGGTAAAGGTGGTCCGCGGGTAATTTTAACTAAAAAGGAAAGTTATGTTTGGCACGCCCTCGATGCCGGTTCGCGTGAGTAAGAGTTGACGAATCACCACGAGAGCAACGTGAGCTCAATGACGCCCAACCAATGCCGCGTGTTCTGTGCGTGTATGTTGTGCACACCCTTAAAAAGAGCAACCACACCCAGCCAACCGTCAACAACGTTATCCGAAGTGCCGTGCGGTTGGCCGATTGGTTTTACAGCTCCGCCGGAGCCGTGTGGATTGGGTGCCACATAACAGATAACATTGTGCAACACATAACTAAATTTCTGATGATAACTAAATAAACACCAGATAACTAAATACTACCTTAATTGGGTTTGGGTGGGGCGACGTGTACCACCAAAGTGTCGGGTGTAGAGGGCGCGCCAGAGGGAGTCGTCGGTGGTGAGCTGGTGCCAGTTGCGGCACACGAGCGGCAGCGACTCGAGCACCTGGTCCAGCGGCACGAAGGCGAAGATGTGCAGCTGGACCTCCTCCGGCAGCATCCCGAACTCGAGCCGCCCGCCGTTGTTGTGGTGGTGCCGCAGGGCCTCGTACGACGCGTCCTGCCGCTGCCGCTGCCTCTGCTGCTGTTGGTGGTGGTGCCGCGACGCCGAATCTCTCGTCCGCGGTCGCTTCTTCTTTCGCTGCTGGGGCTCGCTCGAAGACGACGATGACGACGAAGATGAAGATGACGACGACGACGACGACGTTGGTGGTGGTGGCGATGACGTGGCGGGTGTTCGCTCGAGGGGGCTTTCCGCTTCCGTCGGGCGATGGTGCGCGAGCCGGGCACCATCAGTCCGTCCTTGAGCTGGGCCATGGCCGCCCCGGCCCGGGCGCGCTTCGCGACCACGCCGTCCATCATCGTCGGGGAGGGCGGCGCCGACGATGACGATGACGCCGATGACGAAGATGTTGAGGCCCACGTTGATGCCGACGTTGATGTTGATGTGGGCCGGGAAGAAGATGTTGACCGGGCGATGGTGGGCGCTATGTCGATCTCGGCCTTCCGCTTGTGGCTGTGCTGGCGTCGTGGCCGCCGGTCGGGCGACGAAGAGGGCGACGGCGGCGACGATGAAGACGAAGATGAAGACGAGTGTGCGCTGAACGTGGACGAGGGCGTGCTCGGCGGCGCGGATGGGGGCGATGACGACGAGGTCGACGGCGAGTGGGAGTTGGGCGAGGGCGTGAGCGAAGCCGGCGACGGCGAAGACGACGAGGAGGAGTAGGAGGGCGGCGAGGCCGGTGGTGCGATCGTGGCCGCCGCGGCGGCGGCGAGCTCGGCAGGCGGAGGTGGACCCTCCTGCATTGCCGCCGCCCTCTCCACGGGATTGGTTGTTCGCACTGTTCGCGGTGGTGGTGGCGCAGTCGCTGACGGCAGTCGCTGCGCTCTAGACGTAGATGCCTTGGGCGTTGTTGATGTCGATGTCGAAGTTGTAGATGGCGACGAGGATGATGATGATGTTGCTGTTGATGCTCGCGGGCAAGCCACCGGTGTTGGCCTGCTGAAGCTTTCGCTTACGTTCTCGCTTTCGCCTTCGCTTCGCTTCTCTTTTGGTCGCTCTCCGTTCTCTGGGAAGGGCCAGGGCTCCTCTAGCAGCGGCCCAGCGTCTCCTCGGCCCGGTGCTGCTCGCGCTGTGGCTAGCGGTGGTGGTGGTGATGCTGGGCTGCTGCCAACCTGCGTGTAGTGCGGAGAAAAAGAGCGGGTGGTGGGTCAGAGGAGCTCACGCCTGGTGATGAGACGAGGAACAGAAAAGGGTTTTTGGTCGGTGGTGGCCACGCAAGCCACCGCCAATCATGCACGCCGCACGGGCGAGCTCACCGGCACACGAAAACTGTGTTTTGATGGTTCTTTTTCTCCTTCTCTCCGGAGCGGCGTGTGGTGTCAGATGGCGGGGAGGTGAACACAGAAGTGAACCAAACAAGAAGAAGTGCAGACGAATGGTGGAGAGATGACAGCGTGGAGCGTGAGCTGCTACGTTTGGCACCACACGCACGTGAGTGCGCACCCAGCACAGCAGCAGCGGGCCACACACTCTCTTCTGCAGAGCAGCTCCTGGACGAGAAAGCCAGGTGCCGGCACCCGGCGCGCAAGTGTCTCGCCTCGCTTTCTGTTGGTATCTGCCCCGGCGAGCTGGGTTCGTGGGTAATAAAGTATCCACCTATTGGAAAATCAAACAGTGATTCTACCTATGATTTCCATTGGTCGATGCGAAATTCGGAGGGTTGGTTTTAGCTGGAAGCGTGAAAACGAACTGAGAAAATGGCTTTGGTGATGGCATGCTGACAGCGCACTGCCCATGGAACTCCGACCAAGCTGGAGCTGCGCAGGAGATGCGCGCGTGCCCGCCGGGTGCGCACGTTGCGGCGGTCATGTGCGCCCACAGCACCAACAGGCGCAGGCTGCCGTTGCAACGTGAAGAACGTGCAACACACACGTTCTCCACGCGTGTGGCCAAGCACCAGAAGAACCGTTGGATACGCCACACACGCTGGGCGTCCAGTGTGTCGTGGTGAGACCCAGACACGCAAACTTTCTTCGCGTAGACATTCCAGCTGACGAAAAGTGAAAAGTGAATTTGACCATTTCTACACCAATTCGAAATGCGGAGGACCGTCCCTCCACCGGCACACACATCAAAACAGCAAAGAAAGAAGCAAAAGTGAACACAAGTTGGCGAGTGGCGAGCTGGATCATCATGTCCAACAAAGCTCGCCAAGGCGAGTCACCCGACAACCAGAGCTCAGCCGCAAGACAACAAAAGAAGAGGTAGGCAACGATGTAAACGAGGAACCACCATGAAAAAGAGGACGTTGCGGTCGTACCGTGCTGGCGGTGGTGGGCGTCGACGTGACAAAGGCGCCGAGGCAGAGAAGCCGCGCGAGGGACGCGGGCAGAGGTGGTGGCGCCAGGCCGTCCACGATCCTGAAGCCAGACTGGTCTGTCCCGTCCTTGCTGCTGCTGCTGGGCCGGGGCGGTGGCGATGCCGGACGCCCCGTGCCGCCGGCACGTGCAGACACGACGTCGTGTTCGTGGCGGTCGTTGGTCGGGCTGGTCTCCTCCTTCTTGGCCATGTCGCCGTTGCTCCCTGTGGTACAGTTGCTCTCTGTGGCGATGTCGGAAGTCTGCTCCTCTTCGTTCATGGCCTCCTTCTTCTTCTTGTGGTGACCACTGCTGGCCGTTCCTGCTTCTTGCGCTCTACTTTGTTTTTGTGACTGACTGGTGGTCTGAGGGCTGAAAGTGACGAGTGGCCCGCAGGGCCTCCTGAGCGGCGTCTGCCTCGCCGAGCGGGGCGCAGCTGGGCAGAGAGAGGATCGCGACCCCCCCTACGGGGGTTGTGTTGGCGTGTGTCTGCTGAGGGTTCCTGCGCCTTTGTGCTTCGCCTTGGCTGCCAACGCCCCCATCCGGAGACGAAGAGTTGGCGGCCTTTCCTTTTTCCAATCCATGTTGCCTGCGGTTCGTCGGTCTCGTTCGCCAGCCTCTCCGCCGGTTTTCGCTCCGACGAACGTGGGCTGTGACGATTGGTGGATCCTAGTTACCTCCAGCTTACCATGAAATTTCAGTGTAAATGGGCAGATCCACACGGGAAACAGTCACGTGCAAGGAAGGCTGGAGCAAGTACTTCGCTGCTGGGTGCTGTCGTTCTTAGCTCAAGCTGCAACCACAAACACGCCACACGGCATGTCTCGTTGGCGCGTGGTCAGAGATGGTGTCAGCGCTGTGGGTGTGTTGTTCGCACCGGTGCCGACGGTGGTTCCTTCCCGATTGGGCGGGCGGCCACAAGACTTTCGTCGAAACGCGCTGAGCGGCGTTCAGCGTGGGGCAGTCAACCCATCGAGGGGCAAAAATACTCTATTACGAAGTGCTGTCTGTGGGCCGGTGGCCGGCTTTATGTGACCGACTAAGAACAAAAGAAGTGGAGGTCGTCGAGCCCACCCACACATCCGAGCAGTAGGGTAGCCGTGGCCGTGCCTCTTACCTCCTCCTCTTCCTCCTGCTCTTGGCGTCTGAGTCCGAGCTGCTGCTGTCGCTGTCCGACGACGAGTCCGAAGAAGAGTCCGACGAAGAAGAGTCCGAGCTGCTGTCGCTGTCCGACGACGAGTCAGACGACGACGAGTCCGAATCCGACGAGTCAGAGTCAGAGTCAGAGTCGGAAGAGGAGTCCGAGTCTGAGTCTGACGAGTCGGCGCCGGCGGCGGAGGCGGCGGCGGAGGCCTGCATCTCCATGATGCGCTTGGGCGCGGTGCGGAGGTGCTCGCGGAGCTCGTCGGTGAGGCCGCCGAGACCGATCGAGGTGAAGAAGTTGATGGCGAATCGGGTGTCCTTGGGGTGCTCCTTGGGGAAGAGGCCGCTGTAGTGGGCCTCCATGGTCGGGTCCTTGAGGCGCGCGTTGAGCTTGGGCAGGCCCAGGTACTCGGATATCTCCTGGAAGAGGATCTTGATGAAGATACGCGACGAAGACGTGGTCTCCTCCTCGTTGAGGTGGATGTAGGAGAGCACGCTCCACGGGAGGCCATCGGAGTGGAGCAGGTGGGCGAAGAACTTGGCCACGTTGCGCAGCTTGTTGGTCTCGAGGCGGTGGATGGACTGGTACTGCTTGACGAAGCACAGGTCGAACTGCTCCTGGTAGGCGCGGTCGATCATGCAGAAGCGCTGGCCGAGGAGGCCGTAGAAGCGGAGGTAGGTGCGCTCCTGCGAGCAGCACTCGAGGATCATGCGGCACACCTCGATCTCCTGGTTGGGCTTGAACTGGATCTTAAGCATCTTGTGCGCGCACTCCTCAAAGTCGAGCGACGACATGATGGTCAGGTAGATCGTGCGCCGCAGGTTCACCAGGTCGGTGTCGGTCTCGTCGGTGATCGTGAGCGGGCCGGCCTCGAGGCTGGCCTCGGCCTGGCGCGCCTTCTCCTCCTCGTCCTCCTCGTCGTCATCGCCGCCGCCGCCCTCGTCGTCGTCGGACTCGTCGTCGCCGAGGATGGCCTTGCGGACCTCGTCGTACTTCTGCTCGTTGGTCTCGTAGGCCGGGTCGGGCTTGAAGTAGTCGGTCTCCTCCTCGATCTTGAGCTCCTCCTCGTCGAGGTTGAGGTCGTGCGTGATCTGGTCCTCCTCCTCGACCAGGTCGAGCTCGGGCACCTTGGCCGGGAACTCGGCGAAGCCGCGCTTGCGGATGGCGAACAGGTTCTCGATCATGTACTGGACGCGCTTGTCGATCTCGCCCTCGTGCAGGATGCCGCGGAAGCGCTCGAACACGTTGTTGAAGGCGTCGGCCGACAGCTCGCCCAGCTCCTGGCCGCACTCCTTGATGAAGCCGACGGCCACCTCGACCGAGTCGTCGGTGGGGTTCTCCAGCAGGAGGGCCAGGATCTGGAGCGCGACGATCTCGCCCGCCACCTGCTGATTGACGAGATGGGCGAGGAACTTGGTCGATGAGAGGAGCGTCGATTTGTCGTTACGTCGGTAGCCGCGTAGGAACTGGTTGATGAGACGCGCCAGGATGAGCTCGCCGATGGCCGGCATCTTGGTGTTGATGACGGCCACCATGGCCGCGTAGACGCGGGTGAAGCCGGGCGAGGCGGTCTGGGCCTTCATGAGGGCTCGCGCGAGGAGGCCTCGACCGCGGATGACGTTCTCGCCGAAGAGCTCGGGCAGGATGTTCTTGAGATTCGAGATGTTCACCTTGTTGATGATACCGTTGATGCTCTTCTTGAGCGCGTCCCAGGTCATTCGCTGGTATTCGGGGCTCGATCGATCCTTGATGTCCTTTTGCATGGCGCGCAGCCTCGCGGGCGGGATGTAGACGCCAGGCGCAGGGGCACCCAATGGCTTGGGCGCGGCCGATGTGGCGGCGGCCTCATTTCCTCCTCGCGTAGTGTTGCTCCTTTCTCTATCCCTCGATCGCTCCCTCTCGTCGCGTCGATCGCGATCCCCTCGCCCCCTCGTTCGATCGCGCTTCTCGCTACTCGGGCTGCGGCTCCTCCTCGACCGTCGGTGATGACGATCGCTGTCCCTATCTCTCCTGTATCCCCTCCTATCTCTCTCATCTCTGCTCCTACTTCGGCTGCGGCTACGCCTCCTGCGCTTGTCTCTGCTGCGCCTTCGATCATCGGGCGAACGTGATCTGGAAGAGGAGGAAGACCGGCTGCGGCTGCGATGCCCGCTTCTGCTTCGGCTCCTTCGACTCCTCCTCGGTCTGTCTTCATCATCTTCGTCGCTGCTCGACCTCTTCCTCTTCTTGTCATCGTCCGAATTTTTTGTCATTTCGATTTTCGACCGCACCGCCCTCTCCTCCATCATAGGCGACGAATCTCGCTGAGGAGACGCCGAATCGTCTGACATTATGAGCTGTGCAGAAGGTTGTGATGGCTGGGTCGGCTGCCAAATCGACACGCCTTCTTTTATCGTCGACGGAAAAAAGACGGGCTTGAGCACAGAAAAGGTGGAGAAAAAGCTGGCAGCGAATGCTGGCTGAGGGCTGGACCTTGTGTCCATCTTGCAGTTGACATTGGAGAGGGAAGACATGGCCTCCTGTGTGCTCTACCCCTCCACAAATGATTAGGAAGTCAACAAAGCATGGCAAGCCAAGCAGCCATTTTGCAATGCCTAATTTGGTGGAGATTGTTTGGCAATGGGGCCACCATGTTGCAGGCCTTGATGGCCTGTACAAGGCCATGAAGCACAGCCTGCCTCTCTATGTGCTGGTTGCAAATGATGACAAGGCATGCATGACCCTTTGCTTTCTATGTGGTGTGACACATAAGAGGTGTTAGCATGATTCCTTGAAGTTGTGCAGGTGCATGATAGAGGTGAGGAGTGGGCACCAGGACTGCAGGCTGGAGCAAGGCAGCCAGGAAGCTGGTCAAGGACAGCCCACTGCAAGACTCCACAAACACACAATACACCACCACCCTATAACTTGTGGTCATTTGAAATGAGAGGTCACAAATGACTGTGGAATTTTTGTTGTGCTAAAATTGTGTGAGATTTGACATTTTTGATTTATAGGGCAGTTTTAAAGATATGGATCTGCATGTGTGATTTTGACATGCTAGACCGCTGCTTATAAGTCATATTGAGGGATTTGAGATGAAAATGATTTGATAAAAACTTGGAATATGTGGAGTTAAAAGTGATTTTATCAGCATGGAATGGAGTGGAAGTTTAACTTCAGGAATAGTGCTCCAATTCAGCAAAAATGTGAAGAATGAAGTTCAGTGCATGTGTGCAACTGACTGATTAGTTTATCACATATGCACAAATCCTTGGTTGTGATGAAGGTCTTGAGAACATGAACAACAAAACAGAGGCAATGTTCAAGATCCTGGCCTATGTCTACTTGAACAAGAATAAGGCCATCAGGCCAAGGATGATCATGAGGAGTTGGCTCATGCATTTCACAGTTCAGTACAAACAGTACTGCAAAGGCATGCACCACACATTGATGAAGTCAAAGCAACAGGCACAACAAACCAAGAAGATGGCATCTCAGCCCACTCAAGCCCATCTTGCTGCAACTATCCTGTCAACTTCTCACTTCTTGTGCACCTGCTGCTACCATGTCTACACAGGCAAATGGTGCAAACACAATATCGTGTTCTCCACAGTGATGAGCAGAAGCCCTTCAAGCAGTGCTGCACCTGCAACCTCAACTGGCCACACAGCTCAACATTATTTGTTGAATTCAACAAATAATGTGATTGGATGCAGCCTCTGCAATATCGAAATCCGGGAAAAAAGGGGGCTTTCACGGGGTGGTTGTCTCAGGCGAAAGTAAAGAGGGCGCACCACAGACCGCCAGCAGAACATCTAATCCATCCTCACTCTGAACGAAGCTAATTTATAATGCCCGTACGTACTCACTTCGCTGAGTAGCTTGCCTACGCGCTTCTTTTCGTGCGAGCGCAAGACCACTTCTTCAGTCCATTAATTATTCTTGGGGGGGGGACGCATTAGGCCTACCACTCTCAGTACAACAAGGAGGCCGACCTTCGCGTCATGTGCGGCATGGGCGTGCTGCCCATCAAGACCAAGTACAAGGGTCCCGCTCCCCGCTACACTGGCCCTGCTGGTACACTACCCTCCACCAATTGGGCCAATTAGTGTTGCTCGCAGCTGTATGAAAACCGATGCATCGTGTGCGCGATGTAACGTACGGTTCTATCATTAATTTCGCGCACTACACAATACGATCTTGCAGACCAACCCGACATCATCGATGAGGCGATCAGCTTCTTCAAGGCCAACGTGCTGTTCAGGAACTACGAGGTCAAGGGTCCGGCTGACCGCGTCCTCATCTACCTGACGCTCTACATCTCGCAGGCCATCAACCAGATGGTGAACCAGAGCAAGGGCGGCGCCCAGAAGAACCTCTTCAACCTCGCCATCCAGAACTTCGCTGTTCCCGGCGACAAGAACTTCGCTCTTGCTGGCTTCGTCTCCAACCCGGCCAACCGTGCTGAGGCTGGTACGTTCCATTCATTCCCCCCCCCTCCAATCAACGATCCGCTTGCAATCAAGCGCGCTCTTGATTGCGAGATCTCAATGAACGTCTGCCAATCGCTGCGTGTAGCGCCGCACACAAGTGCTGACGCTTTTTTCTTGTGCTACGCGTTTGGGTGCCGTCACCCAACAACAGACCAGATCCGTCAGTACCTGACCCAGCTCAGGCAGGAGACCGGCGACCGTCTCATCGAGGCCGTGTACGCCTTTGGCGAGAACGAGCCCAGCAAGTGGTGGATGTGCTTCTCCAAGAGGAAGTTCCTCAACAAGAACCTCTAAGCGCCCAGCAGCTCCACTGGCGCCAGCACCTCTTGTCACACCCTTTGTATGAAATGAATGTATTTGCGAAATGTTTGCGTAGCATTTCCCAAATACTTTGCACAGCCGGCTACGTTGGTGTAGTATGTACAGGTTGAAGTGATGAATGACAACACTGGATGGTGGCTGGCTGGCTCATCACAGGCCCAGCTTGTTGAGCAGGTCGGTGGCGGCGCGACAGACCTCCTGGTGCTGCTCGAAGCCCATCTCCAGGCATTCCTCCGAGCACCATGTCGCAATCCCACACTTGGCACAGCTGTGTGGCCCACAACAACACCAACACGATCAGCCACATTCGTGTGCGTGTTCGCGAGTGTGTGCGCACACATTCACCACAAGCGCACGAGGGCGCACTCACCTGATCATCCCAATGCGAGGGCAATGCGACAGTGTGTCTGTGCCAGACAGTGCGATGGGGAAAGAGAAAGGTGAGTGCACGCTAGCGTGAAGGCAGAAGGCGATGTACGCGCGTACCACCACTCGCCATCTTGACACGGCAGCAGGCCTTCGGGCAAGCGTTGAGTCGCCTGAGATCGAACTCCACGCTGGGCCGCTGGGCCTCCGAGGCGTCGTCGAGCACGAATCGGTCAAGCCCGCCCTTGTTGGTCGAAGATCGACAGTACTCGATGAGGAAGGCAAGCGACTGCAGCGCCTCTACAGCCTCGTGGTGAAGAAATCGATTCCTTCGTTTGAATTTGTCCAATTTCTCGTAATCGCGTCCCACCAAGATGGAGACTATGTTATTGTACAGCTTCTCATCCGCTACGTTGATCGATGCACGCAGGGTGTGTGAGTGGATTTTATCGTTGAGCGTCACCCACACCACCTTGGGTTTTTCAGCCACAGCACTACTCGCAGCATTCATCGATGAATCCTCCACCTCCTCACCCGCCTGCCCCCGAAAGAAGTTGGTAAAACTCGAGGTCCTACTCCTGCTCTTCCTCTTGCCCTTTTCCTCCAGGGCATCCTCGTGCCAAGTCATCGATCGGCTTGCCATTGCGATCGCAAATTAATCAGAAAATGAATTTTTAATTCTTTTCGCTTTTTCCGTTCTTTGTTTGGCCGAAGAACGAAAGCGAACGCGCTCAGAAGAGGGAGTACTTGGCGGGGTAGAGGGCGTGCTTGGCCGCGCGCAGGTGCGACTCCCAGTGCGCCCAGCCGAGCTGGCGGACCAGCTCCACCCGCTGCTCGTACAGCCCGCGCTCCTGCTCGCCCAGCTGCCCACCATCCGCCAGCTCCTTGTACTGCTTGCTCACATACTGTTGCGTGCGTGTGCGGTGGTGCGTGTGCGGTGGTGCGTGCGGTGTGTGCGGTGGTGCGTGTGCGGTCAGCAAATGACGGTGTTCGGGCGAGGGAGAGAGGGGCAGGGGGAAAACGAGCGAACCTTGAGAGCGGTGGCGAGTTGACCGCGAGCGCGGTGGAGCGCGGCGAGGAGGTGGTAATACTTCGAATCGCCGGTGACGTTGGCCCACTTCTTCAGCTGCTCGAGCGTCGCATCGGCCTCCGCCAACAGCGCCGCCTTCCCGCCCGCGTCTTCTGCGCGCACACAACACGCGACACACGCGACACACGACACACGCCGACACACGCTCAGCACACGTGTGCGCGCGGTGTGGTCGCACGAGGGAGAGAGAGTGATAGTACCGGTAGCAAGGGCGGCGGTGGCCACGGCCAGGGTCTTCTCGGTGAGGGCCGAAAGGAGGGCGTCGAGCTGCTTCTCCTTCTCCTTGGTGGCCTTGGCCGCCGCCTGCGCTTCGCTCCCCTCGGGCTTCGTCCCTGGAATGCATTCCAGCGCCCTTGGAGTGTTAGGATTGCCGACATGCACATGTGGGTGTCGATGGTGATGACGACGACGAGGACGACGCACCGAGCTTGGTGGCGGCGAGGTGGAGGGCGAGGCTGGTGGTGTCGATGTTGGCGACCACCGCGTCGGCCGCTGCAGCAATCTCCGTCACCTGCAACGCCACGCGCGCAGCGATAACCATGAGAGGCTCATTTTTCGATCATCAAGAAATAAAAAATGGCACACCATGGAATGTGTCGCACGTACATTCTTTCCGCTGACGGCGCGCTTCAGGTTGAGCACCAGCAGCGGCAGGTGGTCGGGCTTGGCCGACACCAGCGCCTGTATTGTTCAATATATAAACATATTAACACACATAATTACCAATATATAATAATAATGATAATAATTATTAAAAGTAATAACGTTAAAGGAGGGCGCGTACTCGGGAGAGGTCGTCGAATTCCTGGACCTTCTTGTCCTTGAGGAGCTTGTCGGCGTACTCGACCTTCTTCTCGAAGATGAACGCCTCGAGCTTCTCCTCCGGCGTCTGCTCCTTCTCCTTCTCCTTCTCCTTTTCCTTGCCATCGCCTCCATTGGAGCCATTGGAGTTCGACGAGGCGGCGGAAGCCGAAGAGCAGCTCGACGTCGGCTGCACCACATAGGCGAACGGCAGCCCGGCCAGCTTCTTGTTCTTATCCGCGAACAGCTTCTTGTACACCTGCAGCGTACCTGTCGTGTGTCGTGTCGTGTCGTGTCGTGTCGTTGTGGTCGTGTCGTGTCGTGTCGTGTCGTGTCGGCAATGATGAGGAATGCGAGGAATGACCGCGGTCGAGGCTGAGAGTACCGAGAAGGAGGTCGCCGGCGGAGGTGTCCTTGGGGAGGGACTTGGTGTCGGTGCGGCCGATGAAAAACACCTGCTCCCGCCCGCACTTCATCTTCTTGCCCGCCGACGCGAACTTAGACCCGTTCCTGCGCACACACAACGATTGCACACACCACTCAGCCGAAAGCACGCGCCGCACACGCACGCACGACCGCACACGCACGCGCGCACGTGGTGGTGGTGGGAAGGCGTACACGAGGGCGTCGCTGATGTTGGAGAAGATGGGCAGGTTGAGGGGCTTGGCGATCTTCTTCTCCAGCAGCACCTCCGTGTCCTTGAGCTTCTCCAGCATCTCCACCTGGTCGTGTCTGATCTGGAACCGCAACGTGTAGCTCCCTGCTCACGCCACACGACACGCAACACGCGGCACGCGACGCATGACACACGGCGCACCGCACACGACGCACACGACACGCAGGTGTGAGCTACGTAGGGAAGCCTTGGGTGGGCGGGGGGGAGTACCCTTGGCGAGCTTCTGGGCGGACGGGCGGAAGTCGCCGAAGCCCACCAGCCGCTTATTGGCGTTGAAGATCATCCTACGCCACCGTGCCGCGCACGTCAACACATCATTTTCTTCCACCACCGCACACACCACCGCACACGCACGCGCGGCCTACCAGAACTGGGCCTCGTAGGGCGACTCGTAGAGGAGGGTGGAGAGGACGGGGAAGCGCGGGGTCACATCGCCCGCCTCGCTCAGCTTGAACCCGTACGTCAGCACCTGTGGTCGTGATTCGCCCCCGGGGGCGAAATCCCACGTCGCACTGCGTCAGCTTTCCCTCCCCCATTTGCGCACTCGACGGGGCGACGGGGCGAAACGGAAAGGGCGAGAGAGAGAGAGAGAGAGTGGGCGGGCGAACCATTTCGTAGATCTGCTTGCCTTCGGGGAGGCGGTCGCGGTCGTCGGGCAGCGAGCGGATGGCGTACGTGGTCGGCGTGACCGGGCGCTGCGTGCGGTCCAGCACGATCTATCCCCCCCCCCGCGGGTCAGCACCACGTCGTGTCGTGTCGTGTGTCGTGTCGTGTGTCATGTCATGTGTCGGTCGTGTCGTACCTTGGGGAGGAGGTCCTCCTTGCGGAGCAGGGAGCTGACGTCGACGCGCTTGACCAGGTGACTCCCGTACAGGCCCACGTCGGTCGTGGTCACCTTCAACCCGTGGAACTCCACCTGTATCGTACGCGTGTCGTGTCGTGTCGTGCCGTGCGTGTCGTGTCGTGTCGTGCCGTGTGTCGTGTCATGCAGTGGGTGTCGTGTAGTCGCCGTTGAGTGTGACGTAGTGGCGGAAGCGCTTCTAACGTGTTGTGTGCGTGTGGGACGGCAGGGGACCTTCATGTCGACGAGAGCGTCGCCGATGCCGTTCCAGTATTGGGCGAGGCACAGCTCGATGGTGACCCCGTCCTTGACCTTGATCGGAACCGCCTCCTCCGCGTTGCTCTCCATCCAAATATACCTACACGCCGCACACGCCCACCGCACACGACGCGACACGCACCGCGACACGCGCGTGAGTGTCACGGCAAGCGCCGGCGGGGGGGGGGGGGCGGAGGCCAGGGAACGCACTTTTCGTGTTCGCCCTGGGCGTAGCTGCGGTGGGGCGTGAGCTGGAGCGTGTGCAGCACGAACCGCTTCCTCGGCGCCACCTTCACACCCCTGCTCCAATGGAATTTCAGACGTTCAGTCTGGGCCGTGTGCCTGCATCACACGCGTGTCGTGTCGCGTGCGTGTCGTGTCGTGTCGTGCGTGTGCGGTGGCGTGTGTGCGTTGCGGGGGCGCACCGGATGGTGATGACGGCGTGGCTGGCGCCGTGGGGCACCGACACAAAGCGACGCTCGATTCCGCCGGAACGGAACGTCAGGCCATTGAACTCCAAACTGTGCACCGGGTTGCTCTCGTCTGCGCGTGTGTCGTGTCGTGTCGTGCCATGTGCGCGTGCGTCGTGCCGTGAGTGCGGTGAGACCGATGTGTGCGTGGTGTGTGCGGTGGTGCGTGTGTGCGATGGGTACGTACCTGGGCCGCGCTCGATGCGGAGGGGGCGAATGACGGTGACGGGCACCTTGAACACGGGGCCGGCCTCGGGCTGGCTCACGTCGATGGCCACGATCTCTCCGTAGTGGTGGCTCCCCGCCTCCAGCACCGTCGGGTCGACCTTGATTGCAAACGAACGCTCTCCTACGCGTGTGCCGTGTCGTTGGTCGTGCCGTTGGTCGTGTCGTGTCGTGTGCGGTGTAAGTGAGGAGCGGGCATATGGACGCCGCTGGTGGTGGAGCGAACCGTTGGAGAGGATGAGGTGCTTGGGGGCCTCAATCCACTGCGGGTGGGAGACGACCAACGCGTAGCGCCGCTCGAACTCGATCCTCTCCTGCGCACCGCAACACACCCCACGATCAGCGCCGTGGCCTGTAACACAACACAACACAACGCACACCGCACACCACACGACGAACCTTGCTCGCCACGTCATCGTGGAACACGGGGGTCACCCGCACCGTGGCCTCCAGCACCCTGTTCGTCTCCTCCCAGTCCCTTTTCGATCGACACGACACGACCAACGACACGACACGACACGACACGACCAACGACACGACACGACACGACACGACACGACCAGAACGACACGACCAACGACACGACACACGTATGAGGCGCGGCACGGCGCGGGGCGAGAGGGGGGGCGTACCGGAGGTAGACGCCGCGGGCGCCGTGGTGGTGGAGGGGCAGGTCGACGTCGAACCGGACGGCCGGGTCGGCGTAGGCGGCGCCGTACTTGATGAGGTGGTGGTAGGCCTCGTTGACCTGCAGCAGGCCGTTGCCGAGGGCGAACGACTCGATGGCGGGCACCCGCCGGGCCGAGTTCTCGATAGCCCGCTTGATCGTGTGCGGCGTGTACTTGACCCCTTGTGCCTGGGCGTGTACACCGCGTCAGCACCGCACCGCACACGCACACACACGCGCGCGCGCACACGCACACGCCGACACGAGTTTAAGGTGGCAGGGGCTCTCGACCTTAAGGGCGCTGATGAGGAGGGCGATGCCGCCGCAGCAGTTGGGGGAGGACATGGAGGTGCCGTTCATGAGCTGCGACTTGGTCAGCAGCCAATTGGGCACCGGGCTCACCGCACCACCTGCACCCGACGGGTGGAAAAATAAATCAATCAATAAACAAATCACGTAATTCCAGGAAAATGTTGCAATGCAACAAACCAGCGCAGGAATGCGTGGTAGAGTACCGGGGGCGGAGATCGAGACGCCCTGGTGGCCGTCGGGCGTCGGTCCACGCGACGACCACGTGTATTGCGTCTCCGGCAGCTCCTCCCTTTTTTGTTGTGGGTTGCGATTGGTCCCCAACGTCAGCCCAAACAACACAACAACATAATAACAACAACGGCAACACAATAGAAAAGACGGGCGAGCGGCGCGAAGAGAGAGAGAGAGGGCCGCGACGAACCGCATGGAGTAGCAGGCGTCCATCATGGGTCCGCTGACGTAGGCGCCCACCCCGATCAGCCCGCTTGTGGTGCCCTGTGGGACACGGACGCGCGCGTGTTGTGGAGTGTGTGTGTGTGAAACAACGTCAAGTATATGGATGGTTATAGGGGAGCGGGAGGGGAAGCGGCCGTACGCCGGGTGCGCCGACGGTGGACAGGGCCGGCCCGTTGTTGCCTGCGCTGCTCACGAACGTGATGTTGTACTTGTTCACCTACATTCAGTGTTCCACCAAAATTTAACATATGTTGTGTTGTGCGATATGTTGCGTTATGTTAGGCTGTGATGGCATGTCAAGCAACATTAAAACAGTTGACGCATCGAGCCACACAGGGCACACGAACGAACCAGATCCTTGGCGAGTTGGATGAAGCGGCCCTGGTTGGGGAGGGTGACGGCCTCGCCGTAGCTCATGTTGATCAGGTCGACCTTGCTCCTGATGGCGTGGATCGCCGCACGCACCAGACCTGTTTGTCGACGTCGCATGCAATTTTGTTGTAATTATTATTAAAAGGAATAATAATAACAGAACAATAGTTATTTGTAGTTTATTTATTTGTTTAAAACAAATAAATAAAATTATAAAAAGAACAAGAGAGGGAGCTAAGTACCGGTGCCGGTCTCCATGGTGCCGAGACGCGTGTCTCCAATCTTGACGGACACGATTTGCACACCTGCGTACACCGCCCTCACTGTGAGTGTCGCGTCGTGTCGCGTCGGTGCGCGCGTGTGTGTTGTTCGTACCGGGCGCCATGCCGTTGAGCTCGGGAGTCTCGGGATAGTTGGCTCCCACGATACCGGCCACATGCGTGCCATGCGAACCTACATTCGCACCCAATTGAGGTCACTAAGTCAATAACATCACCCACAACACTCGTGTGCGGTGTGCGCGTGTGTGTCGTGCCGTGTGCCGTGTGCCGTGTGCCGTGTGCCGTACCAGAGGTGACGATGGAGAGGACCCTGCCCTCTTCGTAGATGTTGACGGCGAAGTTGAGCATCGAGTTGTGGCCGAAGGTGCCGAGCTGGTGCTCGCGGCGGTAGTCGGTGAAGGCCACCACGCCGGCCGCGGCCAAGTCGCCCGTCTCCTCGAGGTCGATCACGCTGCGCCACACCGCGCCGTCGTGGTACACCACCGCGTCGTAGACCGGACCAGCATCGTCGTACTGGCCCTGCAGCTCCTTCAGCTGCTCCACTGCAACCTCCAGCTCTATTTGCACCCGGTTAGTCGACAGCAACTTATATAAGTATCTCAGTATAACATATATACTTACATAAGTATAAGAAATATATATATAAATGGAAGAATATATGACATGTGGAGTTGGATAAGGTGGAGGGAGGTGGCGGACAGGGAGAGCGCACCCTTCTTGGCCTTGTCGTCGGTGGTGGCGTCGATCTGGGCCTTGATGCGGGCCAGCTCGGTGCGCTGCACTTCATCAAACTTCTTCTTGCGCTCCTCCTTCAGCCTGTCGTAGCGTGTTGTTGCGTGTCGTGTGTCGTGTGTGTCGTGTGTGTCGTGTGTCGTGTGTCGTGTGTGTCGTGTTGTTGCGTGTCGTGTGTCATACACGATCGTCGTGGGGGGGGGAGCACAATTGGTCGGCCGCGTACCTGGAGACGAGGGGCTTGGGGAAGAGTTCGTACGCCCGGATGATACCCACATTGTACTTGCCTAACCACACGTTCATGTTTTGTTGTTTGGAACATATGAGTGTCACAAACGTGTGTTGTTGATCTTCTTCACACGGCACGACACGGCACATGCACCACCGCACACGCACACACGCACACGCATGCAACGAGGGACGCGTCAGGTACCTGAGGGGTTCACGATGGCGTCGCCCAGCTTGAGCGTACGCCCGGAGAGGCCCTGCAGGGTGCCGGCGGCCGAGGCCTCGACCACGGTCGACGTGTCGATGTCGCCGCTGCCGGTGGCATCCACGCAGTCGATCACCTTGACCTTGCCATCGCTCGTGATCTGCTCATCATCACCATCCACACACGGGTCCGTTGGCGCCGTGCGTTTCGAGTGCGTGCGTGTGCGGGGTGGTGTGTGCGGTGCGTGCGGTGGTGCGTGTGCCGTGCGAATGGGAGGCATTGTACGCGAAGACCATCGGCGCCGGGATCGACGCCCGAGTCGAAAATGGCGACGACGACACCGCGGCCGTCGTACTCGGGGTGCTCGCTCACGAACTGGGCGGCCTGGGTCTCTTCCTTGGGCATCACGTGCCTCGTGGGGAACTGCTGCTGCTGCGTGCCCTGCTTTTCCATTCTCTATGCTGCTACTACTGTGGGAATAATAAACAATTCAATAAAAAGCAATAAACAATATATTTTTTAAAATAAAAACGTTTATGCTTTGGCCTTTAGATCCAGTGAGTAGTGAGGGGTAAGCAAAAGGGTACCTTGGTGAGATGAAGGTGGTGCGTAGGAGGTTGTACAAAGGATGCTGCAGAGAAGTTGCGCCAGCAAAGGATGAGGTTTTTTTTACAGAGCGCTAAATTCTCTCTATTTCTTTTGTTTTTACATTTTCAATTCAATTTCATTTTTTGCTTGCAAGACAGTCTGGCAAGAGATGAGTCTGGCTTCTGCTGAGGCTTTGCTGCTTCGGGGCAGCGCGAGTGGATCGCACGCGACTCGGCATAGACAGGCTCTGTCAGCGCCTGTCCCCCACACGCCTGGCCATCATCACCATCATCGCCACCAGCCACCGCCCCCGCCGCCCCCTTCCTTCACCCACGACGAATGGCAGAGCAAGATGGCCAACGCCATCAAGCTCGATAATCGATATCCTCTTTACAACCTCCCATCTTTTCTTCCCCCCCCTCTCTACAAACAATCCTCTACTCCCATCTTCGTGGACTTTGTGTTTTTGTTCCTTAACGTGCCTCGTACGGATCTGAACGAGTTGATCATGAACTTCTTCGTAATCGAGGGCTACAAGGATGCTGCCGCCGTCTTCCAGAAGGAGGCCTCCGTTGACCGTACGCGAGCACTTCTCTCTCTTAGCCCAGCCCCCCCCCACGCCCAAGCAAACCTCACCATCATCATCTTCTTCTTCTTCTACGCTGCAGCCGACATGGACCTGGAGTCCATCACGGGGCGAATGGAGGTGCGCACGTCGGTGCAGAACGGCGACATCCCCGCCGCCATCGAGAAAGTCCAGCAACTCGACGCCGAGGTGCGCGCTCAGCTGGCCGCACGCGTGCATGCATGCGCGTGGTGTAGAGGCGATGGTGGATTGGCCACGATGTGGAAGACGACGGCTGATGATGGCCGTTTGGTTCTCGTGTTGGTTGCAGATTCTGGACGAGAACACGGAGCTGGTGTTCCACCTGAAGCAGCAGCAGCTGATCGAGCTCATCCGCAAGGGCGACGTCGACGCGGCGCTCGAATTCGCGCAGCGAGAACTCTCCTCGCTCGGCCAGGACAACGTACTCGCCACACACACACACACACACACACGCACGCACCGCACACGACACGACGCACGGGTGGAATGCTGTGTGCAACGCTGATGATATGATGTATATGGCGCCTGCTGATTAGCCGCATTTCCTGGGGGAGCTGGAGCGCACCATGGCCCTGCTGGCGTTCGACGTCACCAACACGACCTCGCCGGTCGCCTCCCTCCTCGAAGCGCGACAACGGTGAGTCTTTCCTTCTTAGCCCCACCGCACTCCTCCCGCACACACCGCACAGCACAGCACGCACAGCGCACACAGCACCAAACACACACACGACACACACATTGACGGCACCTCCGCGGCTGGCCTGGTTGAACAGACTCAAGGTGGCGAGCGAGGTCAATGCCGCCCTCCTCATCAACCAAGGCCAGGAAAAGGGTAAGTTTCCCCCTCGTCGTCGTGTGCCGTGTGTGTCGTGTCGTGTCGTGCGATGTGTGTCGGGTGTAGTGACTCAACATCATTGATGTCGACCGGGCTGTGTGCGCTGATGTGGTGAGAGCAGAGGCCAAGCTGGTGGACCTGCTGCGGATGGTCAAGTGGGCGCAGGACAAGGTGGCGGGACAGGGAGCGACCTTCCCGCACCTCACCAACCTGGCCGACGCCTCCTTCTCGTCTTCTTCCTCCTCCTCCACGTCCTCCTCTTCGTCGTCGTCGGCCACCTCATCTTCGTTGTCCTCCTCCGCCGGCGCTTCCTCCTCGTGGATCAGCTCCTCGGGTTCGCTTCTCTTCAAGCCTTCAAGTTAGACGCACACACCTCGCTCACATGTAAATAAACAAATAAACAAATAAATAATAACAAAGAGATAAAAAGTAGTAGAGAACGAGAAGACCACGTGGCTACGGTTGCGTTCAAGAAGACTTTAGTGAGACGCTCTTGACGACGTTCATGTTGATGCCGCTGGCCTCGCCATCGTAGTGGACCGGGTTCATGCGGTCCTTCACGCCCGGCCTGAGGCCGTTGAGCTTCTTCATGGCCTTGGAGTACTTGTTCTTGAGCTTGACGCGGCTGTTGCGGCACTCCTTCCGGCGTCGCTTGGTCAGACCCTTGTTCTTCTCGATCTGGTAGTTGATCTTACGCTTCTCGCCCTCGGCCACCTTAGGCTCCTGGCGGAATGCTACCTTCGTCTTCGGCCTGATGGCGCGAGTAGCAGAGATGATGAGTAAAGCGCATCGCCATCCATTCAAGATTGCAAATAATTGGCAATCAAAAGCACAGATTTGTCATCGGTTGGGCTCTACGTTGGTAATCGAGGGAAATGGGGAAAATGGCGATTAAATTGAATCGTATGTACTTCTTGTATTGGGCCTTTTTCGTTTGGTTCTTCTGTTGCTTGATCTGCCGGACCTGCTCGTAGAGCGGATCCTCTCGAACCTTGGCCGCCTGACCTCCGCCTCCCCCTCCGTTGCTGTTGCGCTTCGGCATCTTCTCTTGACGATCGTAATTGAATCTCTTGCGATCGGAGCGCGAAAAAGAAAAGAAACGGAAAATATTGCACAACATACCAGACATTCCCATACCACAGAACCCACACCACAAAAAATACGCAACTAAAATCTGTGTAATTCAAGTTTGCCTCTACTCTCACGCTTTCGATTCACCGCCGCAGCAAATCAACTCTTTTTTGCTCCACTCGAGCCCAGGAATTTATATCCATTTCCCTGCGCTCCACGAGACCAATCGCGCCGAGATCAGATCAGATCACATCACCCAACCCAAATCCCCCCTCCTTGCTATTACTTCTACTACATCGATGATGAGCACAGTGGCCACCACCCATTACGATCCTTCATCCTCCTCTTCTTCCTCTTCTTCGTCTCCCGCTACGTCTGCCAGCACCAACGATGCCGCCACATCGATGGAACAACAACAAGAGGTGCGCGTGTACCGGGATTGCGTGCGCGGGGTGCGGCGCGTAGCGGGGCTCAAGCGGCAGCAGCTGGCAGCGGGCGTGGACGTGGGCGTGGCCAGCGGCGCCGGCCTCTCCCTCCTCCTCTCGCCCCGCCACATCGAATTCGCGCTCGTCATCGACGCACGATGCCTGCCGACTCCATCTTCATCTCCATCTGCCTCCACCACCTCTTCGTCTCCATCATCCTCATCCTCATCCTCATCGTCGGACCACGCCAGCGGTGGACCCCGGTGGCTGGGGTTCAGCTACTTCGGCTATCTCGAGAATTTGAAGCGGTGCTTCCGCAAGCCCCACGACGATCTCCTCTCCTACTTCAAAATCATCCACGTACGCGCTCCTCTTCCTATTTTGTATGGTAATTATTACTTATGTATTTATTTGTTTGTTGGTGGGCTGACACCTAACGTGTGTGCGTGTGCGGTTGTGTGCGGTTGTGCAGGAAAACCTGACGACGCAGTTCAGCGACCCCTACGCCTCGCCCCTCCTCTTCGTCGGCGACTCCTACGAGAAGGCGTTTTGGCAGGTACCCTCCTCGTCTCGTCTTGTCTCGCCACGTGTCGTGTCGTGTCATGTGTGCGCACGTGTCCTGTGTCGTGTGTCGTGTGTGTCGTGTGTCATATCAGTGAGTTTTTTGAGCTGATGATGGCAATCGTCATTATTATGGTATCAGATCTCGTCTCCCGAGGCACCGCACAGCGTGGTGGGCTTCATTCCCTTCCGCCCGGTCTCCCTCTTCCACTCCTTCAAGTCCCACCCCATCATCGCCATGGAGGTACCCCCCCCTCTCCCGCCCCCTTCCAACCCCCTCCCAGAACTCACCGCGCGTGTCGTGTCGTTGGTCGTGTGTCGTGTGTCGTGTAGGGCGGCAACTACCCGATCTTCACGATGATATCGGGAATCGATCGGCACCGGCTGCGCGCGGTGTCGCCCGAGCTGGAGGCGCGGTACCAGCAGACTGTACAGACCGCGACGGCCCTCGTGAGCCCCCACAAGCTGTCCCACCTCCAGGTCCACTCCGTCCTCAGCTCCAAGCGCGCCGCCAGCCCCGTCGCCAACGGCAACGCCAACGCCAACGGTCACGGCAACAACAAAAAGAAGTCCTCCGCCGACGGCCGCAAGTACGTGTGTGTGCGGTGTGTGTCGTTTCATGTATGTCGTGTGTGTCGTCGTGTGTGTCGTGTTGTATGCGTGTGTATGCGGTGTGTGTCGTGTCGTGTTGTGTGCGTGTGCGTGTGCTGAAGAGGAGCGTGTGTCGTGTGTGGCGATAGGTATTCGGGGGAGGTGGTGCGTAAGCTGGCGGACGATTTCTACAAGCACTACGCGTCGTCCAAGTCGGAGGACAAGAAGAGCCTCCAGCCGATCCTCGTGTCGGGCCTGGTCCTCGCCCTCGGCTCCATCTCCCGCGAGGTCGAACTCGTCACCCTCAGGTGCGCGTTCCTTCCGACACGGCGCACACACCGCACACGCACTCATCGCACTACCGCACACGCGCGCACACACGCGTGCAGCATGGCGTCGACGGGGAAGACGCACCTGATGCAGGCGGCGCAGATTCTGCCGCCGTTGACCACGGGCGGCAGCGGCGGGGGCAAGGCGCTCAAGGACAACCTCAGCGACGCCGACCGCCTGGCCAAGGAGCTCGACCACTACCAGAAGCGCCTCGAGGTGCGCCGCCGCCCAACATTATTTAGCCACAGCCAATGATATTGCACGCTCGGTTGCACGATCACGATCATTAACACACTTCATTCTTACTTTAATGGTTGGTAAAACTGTGAACGCAGCAATTGAAGCTGTTGCTGGCCCAGGAGCCGCGCATCGCGATCTACAACCCGTTCCTGCCGGCGGCCAGCACCGTGCTCCTGCCCACGCCCGCGCCGTCGTCGGCCGCCGCCGCCTCGTCGCCCGCTCACCACCACCACGCCCACCAGCCGCCCCAGCAGCAGTTTGACATGTCGACACAAACGACGTCGGCGGTGCCCTCCCTGCTGACCGCCTCCCTCCAGCACCCGCGCCAGCAGCTGCCGCCGGCAGCCACGTCAGCGGCCACGTCAGCACGCCACCACCACCAGGCGTCGACAACGATTGAGTTTCCGTCGCCGACACCTGTCGACAACAGCAACAGCAACTGCGCTGCCAACGGCAACGGCGGACGACAGCCGTCGCCCGCGCCGGCCTTCCGCGCACCGTTGACCTATCTGCCGGCCTCGTCGTCAGCGTCGACACCAACGTCGTCGGCCGTGTCGACGTCGCCCTCGCTCTCGCTCCACTCGTCGGCGTCAGGCCAGGGCGTCAGCGTCAGCAACAGCGGAAGCGGCTCGATGACGCCCGTCTCGTCGACGAGCCACCGCCTCGCGACGGCCTCGCGGCCCGTCACCCCCTCGTCCTTCTCGTCGTCGTCGATCAATCCTGCGCGTCCCTTCCTCCGCCTCTCCGCCTCCCAGGACTTCACCCACGTACACACGCCTACACATTCCCTGCACAACTACACGCATTCCACGGATTCCTCATGCGTGTGTCGTGTGTCGCGCGTCGTGTGTCGCGCGTCGTGTGTCGTGTGTGCAGGCGCCGGACATGAGCCTCCTGTACAGACGGCTGATCGAATTGCTTTACGTGGCCCACCCGATTCCCGGCGGCGTCGGCAATTTCGCCCCGTCGGCGCTCTCGTCGCCCTTCGCCCACCAGCACCCGTCGCCCGGCGGCGGCTACGCGGGCCTGCGCGGGTCGTCCACCCCGCCGCCCTCCCTGGGCGCCTCGTCGGCCTCGCTCCCCGTGCGCCGCTTCTTCGCCCCATCGGCCGCCCCGGCCAACACCCCGCTCTCCCTCTCTCGCACCTCGTCCGGCTTCATTCGCCGCTCGGCCTCCCCCTCCACCGTCACCTTCCTTCAACCATCATCATCATCGTCATCATCGTCGTCGTCGTCGTCGTCGTCGTCGTGGAAGCGATTCCCGCGAGCGACGACGTCGATCCCATCGACCATCGCTTTCCCGGCGCCGGCGCCGGCCGTCGACTACGCCGACTTCGTCACCCCCGAGCAGCTGCTCGCCGCCAACGGCAACGGCGGCGCGGGCGCACAGAGGCAGGGCGACGTCGAACTCGCCTCGCACTCGCCCCAGGCGCTTCACCACCGCCACCACCACCGCCAGCCCCAGCCCGCGCCCGTCTCCCCCGCGGGCCGCCGAACCGCCCCTCCAGCACCATCAGCCGCCCCAGCCATTTTCGCACCCGCCCCAGCCCCAGCCCCAGCCTTATCCGCACCCGCACCAGCAGCGCCCCATGGGTCCGCCAATGCCGGTGCAGGCGGCGCCCGCGGTGGTGGCCCAGCCGCAGCCGCTGCCGGAGCACCACCCGCACGCGCCGGCGGCGGGAGCGCCCGCGCGAGTCCTGCGCCTGTCGCAGTCGCACGCGCCGCACCACCCGCGCATGCCCGAGGCCCACTTCGGACCCCACCACCAGCCGCAGCAGCCGCAGCAGCCGGCCCTCCGTGCGAGCAGCGGCGGGCTTGCCCCACCGGCGGCGGCCGAGGCGGTCCACCCGAACGAATCGGCGTCGGACTTTTTGCTTCGCTTGATCGGCGCCAACAAGGACGCCTCCCGTACGTTTCCCCACCGCCGCACACGCCACACACACACACACACACACACAACGCACACACACAGCGTGTGGACTAATGGTGGTGCGGTTTATTTGGTACAGAGGTTGTTGAAGAGGACCAGGCGCGCGTTGCGGAGGCGCCGGCCAAAGGGCCGGTGCTGTTGCCTTTGGAACCGTCGCACATCGACCGCAGCATCCTGGCCTCTTCCGTCGCTGCCGCCTGGCCAAGCACCAGCAGCAGCACCAGCCGCAGGCGCAGCAACAGCACTTTGGCGGCGTCTACGTCCACTGACCATGAACTTTTTTGTTGGTGCTGGTGTGTTTCTCATGTTACAGTTCGCTGTGTCTTGATCCAGATGCAATGGAGGAAATACACTTTCTAAACATCTGCCAATGATCATTGATGATTACACTTGGGATTGAGTAAATAGGACCCAGATTGTGTGGGGTAAAACTTAGGCTTGGGTGATCATTGGTCTGTGGTTGATTGGCTGATGATGGCGGGTGTGGAGATGTAGGTGAAGTCCTGGATGTGGGCCTGGGAGTGGAGGGACTTGCTGAGGCCTGTTGGCGTGTTGGCAGCCGCCGCCTCGGTTGTGAACAGCGGATCTATCATCTCCACCGACGCCTCGTCCTTCTGCTCACCAGCATCCACCATTCAGATACTTAAATTATCAAAAATATAAAATATAAAATCAATTATTTTTAAATATTGTGGGCTCGTACGACGGGCGGGATGTAGGGTGGGGTGACGGCCAGGTCGGCGAGCTTGGCCCAGTCGATGGACGCGAAGAACGGGTGCGCCTTGAGGAGGGCAGGATCGCAGAGCCGCACGGTCGGGTCGCGCTGCAGCAGGCGCCCGATCAGATCGTTCGCATTCTGTGCGCGTGTTGCGTGCGATGAGCGTGGTGCGACTAAGGCCAATACTCCACACACACAACAGAAACCAACACTCGCGTACCTCGCTCAGTTTAGGATTCGGTTGATAGGCCTCCTGGACGATTCGCTCACACATCACCTGCGTGTCAATGCTGTAGAATGGCGGCTGTGCGTGCGCGTGCGCGTGTGCGTGTGCGTGTGCGTGTGCGTGTGCGTGCGTGATGAGCACAAATGGGGGAAATGAGTGGACAACAAGTGGTCAGACGCACAAAGCCGGTGAGCATCTCGTGGATGAGGATGCCGAAGCTCCACCAGTCGACCTCCACGCCGTAGCTCAGCCGCGCCAACATCTCCGGCGCTGGACCCACCAAACGCTCGTGCGCGGGAAAGCCGATCAGTCCACAAACAGAAGACCGCATTTGGGGGGGGGGGCTGAGGGGGTACCGAGGTAGTCGGGGGTGCCGCAGAGGGTGTTGGTGCGGTCGTTCTTGGACACGAAGCCCTCCTTGGAGATGCCAAAGTCGGTCAATCGCACGTGGCCCTCGCCACTGATCAATACGTTCTCCGGTTTCAAGTCCCTATGTTATTAATATATGATTATAAGTGGTGAATATACAAGAAAACTAAAGATACATAAACTATCCTAAGATTTGGCAGTAATGTTGATTGGAATGTAGTACCTGTAGATTACACCCTCTTGGTGGAGGTACTCCAGACTCAACAGGATCTCAGCGGCGTAGAAGCACGCCCGCTCCTCGCTGAACGTCTTGTCCCGTTGCAAGAGATAGAACACCTCGCCTGATTTACATTTATGTCATAACATGTAACGAATATGTTGAAATATATAGAAATATGTATGGGTAGAGTACCGCCGTTGACATAGTCCATGACAAAGTAGACCTTGTCGGAGCTCTGGAAGGTGAAGTGGAGCTTGACGATGAAGGGCGACGACAGGCGGATCATGATGGCCTTCTCGGCCATGGTGTGCGCCAGGCCCTTGCCCTCCAACATGCTGGTCTTGTGCAGCACCTTCATGGCGTAGATCTTCCCCGTCGACTTTAGTCTCACCTGCAACACCTGTTTTGTTTCCGTGGTCACCACGAGATTACATTCCGGTTGGTCAGAACGTTCCAATGCAACGAAAGTAACCAAAACCCAGTAACCCAGCAGCTGGACCTTGCCAAAGTTGCCGCGGCCAATCACGGCCATGGGCTCAAAGTCGTTGACCTTCAATTGGTTGGAGTCTGGCCCGACCTCGGCAACCTGGAGCTGCCCAGGGTTTTCCTCCGACACCAGTGAGCAACTGGGCTGTTACCTAGGAGGATTACGGGCAAAACCTGGGCAGTTGCAATGGGACTGGCCTTGGCGGCGTCGCGGCAGCGGGTGAGGGCCTCGATCCAGGGACCATCAGCTCCTCGCTCTCGGCAACGAAGTGCCAATTGCGATGGGGTGTCTCCAGGGTGAAGCAGTGCTTCTTCTTGTTGTTCTTTTTCTTGGTGTCATTGGCGGTGAGCTGCTGAACGCCGCCCGCCGAACCCATGGGAATGATGCCCTTCAACTCGCCTCCCTGCCGCATGCCAGAAGAACAATCAATACCAATTGGTTTGAAACTCTTTCAAAAATTAGACAAAATAAAATCTTTATGTTTGTTTGGTGGGGCACCTTCTTGGTGTAGTAGGCCAGGGCGTTGTCTCTCAGGATGCACCATCTCTTCTTCCAGGACTTGACCACCGCCCCCTTCTTCACCAGAAACCCTTCCATCTCTGGCAGATTCGCCCCTTTGCTGTCCTTTCGTTGAGTCTCCATGTGTGTTGCTTTCTTGTGCTGTTACAACCTTTTCACTGAGTGAGTTCTGCTGCGCCGTCACAGCCAGCCACCTCTTCGAGTACTTCGTTCGAGTAACTTGCTTTGGCGGAGTTTTCTTCATGTCTCTCTTGCCATGCCACCATGGTCTGGCTCCTTTTTTTCAAGTGTTTCCTTGTAACCCTCCCTCCCACACAACCTGCCATTACAAAATGCACACATTAAAATACATAAAAACTTGTGGCTGCTGCACCAATAAACCGCATTACGTACGTGGGAGGCCCGCTACCAATGGCCAATCAAAAGTCGGGCAGGCTGCCCACGTCCTGGGGGAGGTTGCGGTCACGGATGAACCCCACGATCTTGTCCGCCATCTCCTGGCCATTCGTGGCCATCACGCGCTTGCCCATGATATCCAACTCGCCGCCTGCGTTGCATTGAAGATGAAGCGCGCGTGTCGTGTCATTTGTGCGTGTGCGATGAAGGTGGTATGGTGCGTGCGTGCGTGCCGTGTGCAATTTAGCGGAAAGGTGCGCACCTGTGGGGTCGAGGACGAGCCCGCCGGCCTCGCGCACGATGACCGTGGCAGCCGCGAAGTCCCACGTGCGCACGCCCGTGCACGTGTAGTAGGCCTCCAGGCGGCCCACCGCCACCCCGCACATGTCCAGCGCGCACGAACCATTCGCCCTTCCGACCTCATCTCGTTAGCCCAGACGCGCGTCGTGTCGTGTGCGATCATGCGTGCGTGCGCACAGCGTTGTGTTGTGTACCTGATGGCCTGCACGTTGGAGGACAGCGCCTGGTAGATGGCGGCGGTCTGGAAGTTGAGGTATTCGCGGTATTTGGGAAAGCCGGTCGCCAGCATCGCGCTCTCCAGCTCTCTGATGAGCAACACACACACACACACACACAACACACACACAGTTTCAGTGTGCGTGTAAGCCTCGAGCGCAAAGAAAGACCGGTCAGGCCTGAGCGTACCGGATCTGCGACACACGAATTGGTCGGTCATTAGGAAGGCGCCTTGCCCGCTGATAGCAGTGAACCTAAAAAGCCCCACGCACACACACATGCACAACACACAACACACAACACACAACACACAACACACAACACACACACAACGCAGTCAGGCAAGAACGTCACAGAGGAATGGGAACTGGTGTCGAGATCGGGGGTACATTTCATCGAGAAGAGGAGCGTAGACGACGCCGACGAGAGGCTTCTTGTTCACCACGAGCCCGATGCACACGCAAATGTAGGGAAACTTGTGCACAAAATTGATCGTTCCATCTGCCAATGATGTGAAGTGAAGTGAGCACACGCATTCACCGCACGCACCGCACACGACACGATGATAGAAAGGGATACCGAGAGGGTCGATGATCCAGGTGGGCGTGTCGGTCAGCACGTCGTCAGTGCCATCGACGGCCGTCTCCTCGCCGATGAACCGGTGCGTGGGGAATGCGCCCAGGAGCGCTTCCATGATCACCCGCTCGCACTCCTTGTCTGCGAATGCACGTTGTACGTGCGTGGCGTAAGTCGTAGAGATAGAATGGACCCGCAAGCTCGCAAGACTTGTTTGTTTGCTTTGAGATTTGTGGCGCTACAAGAATTTGTAGAACATGTGATTGATCGATTGATTGAAGAGAGCACTTTGCCACCACTGCGGGTGGTGTACGCCCCCCCCCCACAACAATCTCCAACACGGCCGCAAGATGGTACCGGTCTCGGTCACGACGTCGAGTACTGTCTTGCGCTCGATGTTCTCAGGGCCGTCGGTCTTGCGAAAGGCCGTAGCGATGATGGCACCCGCCTGACGAGCCGCCGCCACCGCCACCTCGCGCCACCGCTCCGCCTCTCCTCCTTCCACGCCCTCCATCTTATTTTATAATCAAATAAATAAATGAAAGCAAAATATTGGTTGTGTGGTTGGCTGATCTACTAGTCAAGATGAAGATGGTTTCTTTTTGAGGGTCCAGAAGGAACAGGTGATGAAGTACTCCTTCTTGTTCGGCCCAACGCTGTCGACCGGTTGATCGTCCCGGCCGTCGCCGGCGCCGCCGGTGTTGAGGGGCACCTGCACGGGGCTGTGGATGGCGTTGTCCATGTCCCACAGCCCGCACTTGTGGAACACCTCCAGCATCCAATCGGGCTCGCCCTTGACTGTTCCGACCACCGACACAAGCACACACGCGCGTGTGTGTGCGGCGCGTGTTTGTCGTCAGCCATCACAACGCAACGCGACACGACACGGCACACGACACGCACTCTTGGGTCCGGACACGACGAGGTAGAGCCCGTCGGGCTTGAGCACCCGGGCGATCTCCTCCAGCATCTGCCAGCAGCTGGGCGGGAGGCGTGGTGGTGGTTAGTAAGACGGTCGTGCGGCACTGTTGCATTGCGTTGTTGGTTGCGATGGATGGCTGCTAGTGCGGTGGTCGGCAATCGCCGCGCGCGCGGGGTACCAGCTGTCGGCTTCGTCGCCGATGCTCAGCATGGCGTCGAGGGTGCCCTTGTCCACCACCGCGTCGAACGACTCCGCGGGGAAGCCCAGCGCGCACGCATCCATCAGGTAGTACGACGCGCCCTCGGGCTTCAGCATCACCACCTTGTCACCACCACCCACCACCGCCACCATACGTCAGCACATGAGCAACCATCACCGTCGTCGTCGTCGTCGTCGTCGTTAGGGGGCAAAGTACGGAGCCGTCGATGGTGAGAGGGATCCCGGCGGCACCGGCGGGCTCGGGGGCGGCGCTCTGGCCGCCGCCCTTTCGCTTGCCGCGCCCGCGGCCGTGAGAGGGCTTCTTGTTGGTTGCGGGCCGCTGCTGCGAGGCGCTCAGTGCCTGCATCTGTTCGATGGCTGGCGCACAGGTGTCGATCGACACCACGTGGCGTGCGAGATTGCCTGCCGTGTATGTGAGTATGTGCGTGTGCGGTTCGCACGTTTGTGTTGAGTCTTGTCGTGTGAGCACGCGTGCATGAAAGCCAAGGCTTGAAGTGTACAGTTGATAAGGTCGTGGGCGAGGGTGGAGGTGCCGCAGCCCACCTGCAGCACCATAGAATCGGCCGACAGGAAGCGCTCGTAGCACTGCGCACGAGGAGAGGATGGAGACAGAAAGATTAAATCTCACCCCCGTGCGGAGGTGGATGATGAAGATGCGCGTACCTGGCGAGCGTGCTCGAAGGAGAGGTACCACTCGAACACGTCACCGCTGGCTTCTCCCTCCGGCCCGTAGAAGTGGTCCCAGAAGGCCGGGTCAGATGGAATCAGCTCGCCCGTCTCCCCTCCATCTTCCATCTTGCGATTTATTTTATTTTATATGTTATTATTATTATTATGCACGTTGTCTGCGTTTTGTTGCAAATGATTTATGAATTGATGGTTGTGTAATCAAATGAATTACACGATAAATGAAGGATAAAGAGTGCCGTGATGCAAAGGGGTGAAGTTGCAGAGCAGGGCTCACACTCGTTGAATCGGACGATCAGTCGAAGCCGCCACTCAAGGGAGCTGCTGCGATTGGATGTATACCCTCAGGATTTCAACCCAGGCGTGTGCCTGCTTCGTTGAGACCCTTCATTGACACAGCTTACTCCCCTGAGCGGCAGCATCGACGACCGAAGTTCATCAAGATCGAGTAGAACGCCCATCAAGATGCTCTGCCAATTTGTGGGAGGGCATTACTGCTCCTTCTCACTCGCGAAGGCCGTCTTCAGCTTGGCGACCAGCTTCGCGGGATCAGGGAATCCAGCGCCTCCTGCTCGAGCATTGAGTGTTGGAATTGGGGGGGATTAGTCGCTAACGAAGGAAAAGGCCACTCAACTGATGGTACCGAGCTTGCTCCAGAAGACGACGCCGTCTTCAGAGGAGACCTCAAAGGCCCCAGACCTGGGCTTGCCCTTAGCGTTGCCGAGTACTTCTATTTCGGGGAAGGCGCGCTCGATCGCGGTCGCACAAGCCCGAAACTTGGAACCGTACCCTGTGCGCGAGATGACGGTCAATCCATGAACAAGACGAAAACGCTCTCCAGGGCGTAGCTACCTCAGGCGGTGCAGTATTCGATGTAGATCTTCATGGTGTTGTGGATGTTTTTGCTTTTGTGCGAAGAGCTGGCCTTTTCGCCAAGCAGGGTTTGCACCGCCCTCTTAAAAAACGACAGAAAATTACAACAATGCTGTCTTGGCGCCAAAAACTCAGAAGCCAAACCATAAGTTTCGGTTTGGCTTCTGACAGAGCTAGTGGTTGAGAAGTTGGGAACCAAAGATAACAACAACAATACATGGCACTAAAGAGAAAAACAGATATATCCAAGAACAGGAGATAAAATAAAAGGAAAGAAGGAGATAAAGTAGAGAAAAGGTATGTTGCATGGGACCAGTTTGGCTACCACCAGGCAGATGGATGAAAGGCATGGCCATGCGCAACTGCTGGCCAACAGAGGGGCTGATACAGCGATCGGTTCATCACATAAGGAAGCAAGGGGCGATGGTTTGGTGGAAACCGTGATCTAGACTCGAAGTTTGCTCCACTCCGAGCCAATCGGCCGAGCCGAAACCGTTGCCATGCTCTCCTGTCATCACTCGTCGAATTTGCTCCTCGTGGGAAGGAAATTTCACCAGAGTGTGTGGCGCCGCGTTCGTTGCAAGTGGCCAGTTCGCCTGGTCGGCTACACCGTTGCGGCGGTCTCTTCGGGGTTTGGGTCAGCACCAGCCGCACCATCACCTCTTCTGGTCCTCGTTGCCCAGCGGCCACTTCTCTTCCCACCTGTCATCGTTCTCTGCAGGAGGCCAACGCAACGTCTCTTTTTCCGACTAAGAGCTGGCGTAGAGACAGAACCCAAAACGTTCTTCTTATCTTCTTTCCACCCGAAGTACCAAACCAAAAGTCACTCTTTAGCCTCTGCTGTTGGAAGCTAAAGTTGGATGCATCGTTTCGAGAAGAGAGCGAGAGCGCGAGGCGCGAGCCTAACAAGGGCCAAGGGCCAGGAAGAAGAGGCGAAGAAGGAAAAGAAAGAAATCACAGTTTTCTGCGCGACGACGTCCCAGGTGGCCCTCGGCGGAACGAGTGCGGGGATCGCGTGTCGACACGACCTTGACCATGTCCGCATAGCGCACGCACGCGTTAGCGGGACGCACCACGGCGACCGACAGAACGCGTCCCAGACGACCGATAGAACGCCGCAACTCGGCTCTCTCTGTATCGACCACCGCCGGCGAAGCACAACGCCCACGACACCGATCGGTGCACCGCCGCGCAGCTACGCCACGAACGAGGAGAGAGGGATCATCATCGATAGAACAAAGAAGAGACGACGACGACGACCACGACAACGAAGAGAAGAGGAAATGCAGAGCAGCATTTTTGGGCCGTGCGCACGCAACGCGTCGGGGTTACGAACGATGGCCGCGAGGAGAGAGATCGAGAAGAGAGCGCAGGCACACACGACACACACGGACCGCGTGAACGACGACGACGACGATGATGCATCTTCTCTCTCTCGTTCTCGTTCGCTCGTTCGACTTGCATCAACGCATCTTTCGAGGTCGAGGCCGTCCGCCCGTTCATCCATCCATCCATCTTACGTTGGTTCGTTTGCTCGTTGGCCGTTGCTTGTTGTTGTTGTTTATCGTTGGTTGGTTTTTTGTCCGTCGACGTTGTTTTTGGTTATCGATCTGTTGTCGCGTTTTTGTGTTTGTCGGGTCTTGCGCTTGTTTCTCTTTCGGTGTCGTGTCTGGCGTAGAAGAAGAAGATGAAGAGAAAGAAGAGGAGGAGGAGGAGAAAGATGAGTTCGCATAGGTAGACAGATCAATCGATAGAGCGATATATGCGTATCCTGGCGATAGAGAGAAATCAATATTGCAAGTTCGTGCTCTTTTTAGGCTACGATATATCTTGTTGTTTGGGTATTATCATCATCATCGTCACCACCGTCTCCTCTTCGTTCTTCTTTCTTTTATTTCTTCTTCTTTTGTTATTTGTGTGGTGGTCGTAGGTGGCGTACCTTTTTGCTTTCTCTGTTTCGTTCCTGGATGGATGGATGAACGGGCGGACGGCCACGGCGTCGGTGACCGACGGCGAGCGCGGGATCCGTTGGTGCCCAGTCGAACGAGCGAACGAGAGCGAGAGCGAGAGAGCTGAGAACGCGTCGCGATGGTCCACGTGTGGTGTGTGCTGCTCTCTCTCTCTCTCTTCTCTGCCACGGACGATCCCCCCAAAAATGCTGTTTTGCATTTCCTCTTCCATCCGCCGCCATCGCCGCCATCGTCGTCACGGCCCAAGGTACGTCTCCTCGCTCGTTCTTTTTCCGCGCGACGCCTCCGTCGTGTTGTGTGTGGTGTGTGTGTGTGCGGTGTGTGTGTCTGTGTGTTGTGGGCAGCGCGTACCGGAGCGGCGAAGAGGCGAAGCATGCTGGCGGTCGGCGGTTACAGTGTTGGACTTCAAGAGCGACACACACGCCAATGCCCCGCACGAACACGACGCACACCCAGATCCGTTCCGCAGTGCTTCACCGCCACCATTGTGTTGATCATTGCCGTACCAACACAAAATACACAACACCACTTTCGTTCTCCTATCCTGCACAAGAAGAGCTCGTGAGCGCGCCACAGCAAGAACAACGTTGAAAGAGCGAAAGCGAAGCGTGCACGAAACAAGAGCGAAGGCGAGCGACATCGTACCACCTCATGAGGCGGCCGAAGTGCGAAAAAGCGGTTGGTGGCGCAGTCCCACTGAGGGCGGGGGTCTACTGGCGGCTGGCGGGGCGGCAGTGCGGCTTGTGGGTGCGCCAGTGCTGCTTTTGGTGCTCTCGCGTGCAATAGGCCACCTGCTTGCAGGCTCCGCACACGGGGAAGTCGCCCCGACGCGCTTCCTTCGCCTCGCACAGGCCGCACTTGGCCAACTGCGCGCCTGCTCGTGCGCGGTGTGCCATCACAGATTAACCCACACGACACATGCATGACACACGACACGCGCGCGCACATGACACGCATCACACGACACGCGCACAGCACACGGTTGCTTACCGTGTTCGGCGGAGGCGAGTTCCTCCTCGCGGAGGGCGAGGCTGGCGAAGGAGATGCCGAGCCGATCGAGTTCGTCGGGGACCTTCTGCTTGAGGCCCTGCATGGCATAGCTCGCGTTCTCGAGCAGGTGGGCGTTGTTCTCGTCCATCTCCAGCTTTTCGTACCGCCGCAACACCTGCACCCAACGCGCACACGACGCGACACCACACGACACCACACGACACCACACGACACGACACGTGATAAGACTCGAGGTGCACCAACGACAAAAAGGGGAGAGTGGGCGAACCTCGAGCAGACGAGGGCTTTGGCAGAGGAGGCGCGCGCTCTCCACGGTCTCCACGAAGTTGGCGATCACGGCCAGCGCATTGACCTGGCAATGCAGGAAAAAAAACGAAAGAAAATCCATGAAATAAAGAAGAAAAAAAATAGTTGGGTGAACGGCAACGACAACTTTCTCAACACAAGAAAATTGGGAACGTGGGGCCAGCATTAATCCCGGAAGGGGGGGGTGATGGGCAAACCTGTATCTCGACCACAGTGTCGGCCAGCAACTCCGTCAGCACGTCCGTGAACTGTTACTTTCACACATGGTTGCCAACCACCAGAGAGAGGGGGAAAAAATGGTCAGCAGACAACACAAAGCAACGGCGGGCTGTGCAAGGTGAGGGAATCGCTGATGCATCACCGGTGCGATGCTGTACCCGATACTCGGCGGAGGTGACCATCTTGTGGAGGATCGACGGAATGGACGAGAAGAGGAAGAAGAGGAGGCAGATGTGTCGCAGCATGTAGGCCTCGTCCGATGGGTAGCCCACAGTGGCCGGCTTGCTCCTTCAGAGGGTCAACCCAGGTCAGCGACACACGCAAACGACACACACGACACACACACACAACACGCACACGCACACACCAACGTGTGCTAGGGAGACGTGCTTGCGGATGATGTCGATGAGGACTGGGATGAGCTCGTCAGCGTAGGCCTCCATCCGCTCGCGGCCCTTCTCGCAGAACTGTCGGTCCTCGGGGCTTAGTGCCATCTCGTCTTCTTCGGCGCCGCTGCTTGCCACCTGCGTCGCCGTCTGCCCATCGGCGCCCGAGGCTTCGCTTTCGTTCTTTTCCTTGACCTTGAAGCTCTGCTGGTGCTTGTCGAGCACGTAGAGCGCGCGGCAGCCGTAGCTGATCGTCTGATTGTCACCATTGCACGCCTGGCCATCACCATCACCACCACCACCATCAGTGACAAGTGAGCGCCGGATGAGGGAGGTGGAATGAGCAATCGAAAATCGCAGCAGATGCATCACCCAACTCGCAAATCTCATCATCTCGCGCTATAAGGGTCACACATGGCGCACCCAACACCAACACGCCGACACTACGCCAGGTGCCACGCACAAGGACTTATTAAGGTCAGGTGGGAGTGTCACACTCGCCGCGCTTACCTTGATGCCGGCCACGATGGCCTCGACGCCCTTGGCCGCCGCGATCGCCTTTCTGTTGGCTACGTGGCACACACACACACCACACAACATTGTAGCAAGAGTCGTCAGCATTCAAAGAATGTCACCCACGATATCGGTGATGTGATGAGAAAACCCAAAGCCATCTCGACGACGGAAAGTCGGCTTGCCTGTGCCCGTGTGCGAAAAAAGAGGAAAAGTCATCGACAGGAGGGTGACTAGGGAGGCCGAGAAAGCGGACGCCCAGGGCAACGACCGCCAACGTAACCCAAAAAAGGGCCAGGCCTGCAACCGCTGGGCCACGCATTCGACCAATGCGCAGCGCGATAGTGCCATCGATTGCGTGTCGCGCGTAGTGTGGCGTGCAACCCAAGGGCGACCGTGCGATGGCACCGGCGCTCTGATCTATTCCTGGTCAGGCGAGCTGTAGACCTGCCTATTTGTGGTCAAAACGCAGGGATCTCGTGTGGGAAGCGCGAGGGCTGTCTAGGTGGGTGTCCACTGGCGTCGACACGACGCCAGGGCTTGGCCACGCCGTCGGCATACAGCGTGTGACCGTCGACACTTTCAGACGGCGCACAGCGGTCCCGGCGTGTTCATCCAGTGGCACCGGCGCTTCGGCGCGGCTGTGGCGTCGCTGGCGATAGGCCCGCACCAAACTTAGTGTTGGCTGCGCCCGCAGCGGCAAATAACATGTCTAATTGGAGTGCCCAAAATGGACCCAAAGGCCGGTGGCATTGATCACCCGCGCCCTTCACTTTCCAACAGACACCTGAAGCTGCCGCCCTGTGTTGGGCGCGGTTGTTGTTTGCTGGACACTCTGAGTCCACGTCCGAGAAGAACGAACGAGCACCACCTCGCGCCCGCCACAGCAAAAAGCTGCCAACACATCGCCAACCGCCCCAGTCCGCAGTACCACCACCCACCGACCACAGCAGCACACGACCGCACACACAGCACTCGATAGATCTTTGCGCCTCGCCCACCACTGCACGCACGCACGACACGACACGAACGAACGCCCAAATCTACATCCCTAGTCGAGAAAACCGAACGAGCGCGAGGCAATAACCGGCGACCGATCTAAGTCACGCACCAAAGAAAGGCGCACATCTACCGCTGCGTAGAAAGAACGAACACCCATCCAAAGAACGAACACGCACGAGGCCCGAAGGAGAGAGCGAGATCGTAACACAGACCGCACGTAATACTCGAGTTGAGCACATGCTCTCATCGACACTCTCCTTTCTGTGCAACCCACAGCCCGTCGTGCGACCACCACCACCGCCCCGAGCCGTAGCCTATTCCAGCCACCACCGCGCGCCGCCCTCACCACCGCCGCCAAGCGGCTACCCGTCGCTGGCCTGCTGCGGCCACTGCGGCGGCCACCCGCCCACCTCGCCAGTACGTTTTTCCGCCTTAGGCTTCGTTCTTTGTTTTTCGTTATTTGTCGTGGGTGGACGGTGGTGTTGGTTGTTTTGGCTCAACGCGACGTTGCGTGGGAGGCGCTGGTCAATTTCTGTAATTAAGGACAACTGGGCAGTTCAGCGTGCGATGGTGAGGGTTGATTTGACGATGCATGTTGACTACGTTACGCGGCATCCAAAACATATGAGAATATCTTTCGTATTTTCATTCTCATTTTTGTTTCTGCTTTCTTTCTTGTGGTGTGCAGTATGAAGCGGCCTACTACCATCAGCAGCAATATCACCACCATCACCACGACGAACGTCATGACGAGATGCGCTGGAGACGGCAGCAGGCGGCGGTGGTGGTCGAACAACACCACCATCACCAGCACCACTACGGCACCACCGCCGCGTTCCCGGCGCCACCGGTAATGGTCGCCACCGAGCAGGAGCTGGCCTACATGAACCACATGCAGCGCTCGCTCGCGCTCCTCAAGGAGAGCGTCAAGAAGCTCTCCGTCGGCACCGGAGCCGGGGCCAGCAAGCAGAAGCAACAGCTGTCGGCCGTGGCGGCGCACGCGGCGGTGATCGAGGCCGTGGCCGCGGCGGGCGGAACTCGGGTGCCCGTGGCGACGCTGTTCAAGACCATCCGCAAGCAGCGCGCCCAGCCGCGGTACCACTGCTGCGAGTGCGGCGCCGCCAGCACGACCCAGTGGAGGAACAGCCCCAGCGGGAAGAAGTGCGTTCGCCCAGAAATTTGTGTATTGCGTGTGCGCACACACACTAACATGTGTGCGTGCGTTTGCCAGGATTTGTAATCCGTGTGGCATGCGACTGTGGCGCAGCCGCAAGAGGAAGGAGGGCGCTGCCGTCGGTGAAGAAGAGCAGCAGCAGGAGCCCAAGCAAGAGCAGCAGGATCAGCCCTCGGATGACGAGGAGAAGATCGACGCGTCGAACCGCGGCCGCTCCAACATCTACAATTTGCTGAACTAAATAAAAGATACCGCAATACCATACAAAACCAAAACAATAAAATAATAAATAATTTCGATATTTTTTCGGTGGTTGCAAGGAACATGTTGCCTTTTTTAAAATAGATCATCGCTCTGAGGTGGCGTGTTGCAGGGCCACGGGGATCACTGCAACCACTGACCAGGGTCCGTGTAAATTTGTTGGAAAGAAGTAACATATATAAAAATGGCGCTACCCGAGTGGTCGAATCGAGCCGACATAAAAACAGGCCAACGGGGTCGCGTACCTGTGACAAAGGCCATCGAGGAGAGCAAGCCGACCGCCGCCCGTATCACTTCGACCCGCGCCTTGGTGCGTGCATCGTGTTCGGCCGCCGCAGCGGTGGCGGCATCGATAGGCTGCTGCTGCTGTTGCTGTTGCTCGGCGGCGAGTCGGTTGAGGAGCGCGCAGGTGATGACGCAGCCGCCGGCCTTTATGACGCGCTCGCCCATGTCGCCCGCGTCGACTTCGTTTTCGAAGGAGTCAAGGTTGCTGAGCGCGTAGAGCACGTCGAGCACCATGGCCTTGTTGGTGAACGCCGCCTCGTCGACGCCCGGCAGCGCCGCCGGTCCATCGCTGGTCGTCGTCGATGCCGACGCCGGCTTGGTTGGATTGTCGTCGTCCTTCCGCAGGAGGAGCAGCACGAGGTTCTTCATGGTGTTGGAGTCGGCCACCTTGCGGCGCACCATGGCCCAGCTCTCCTCGCCTCGTCGACACATCTCGCACAGCTTCATGAGCGCCATTCCTGCTCAGCAGTGAATGAGACACTGTCGATCATTGCTGCACACACGACACAGATGGCACACGCGACACACGCACGACACGGTTTGTGAGAGTGGTAAGGATGACACTACGTACCAGCGGAGCCGCGGAGGGACAGGTTGAACTTGGGGTCGTTGAGGAAGGAGAGCAGGAGGTCGAGCGCGCTGGTGCCATTTTCACCCCAAGCGCCTGGCGCGCCCACCGCCAGAAGCGCCCTGAACGTCTATCAACGTCGGGGGAGCCGCACGACACGACACCCACACACGACACACAACGGCTATGAGGAAAAAGTGGTGCACTCGACCTGTTTCGTTAGTCTTGGCTCGCGACTGCGTACCTTGTCGTTGGCGTAGGTGAGTAGAATGTTCGCCACACCGAGCAACACCTTCTGTCTCAGCTCCTCTTCGATGCTCGCGCTGTCGCCTGCGCAGATCAAGTTGAAGTTGACGCACAGGGCCAGGGTCGGCACAGTCAGCCACAGGGCAGGAGAAGGAAAAGGGTGACTGACCTTCGATCTTCATCTGCTGCTGGGCGAGTACGATCAACTTCTCGAGTATGCCGGCCCTGCAGAGGGCTTGAGTGTTGGAGAGGGCCATCTTGTTGAGCGTGTTCAGCGCCAGCGAGCGAAGCGGTGCATCTCGCGGGTCGAGCTGAGACCTGGTGCACGCGAAAGCAATTTGAGCACACGCACGGGAGTACATACACGCTCAGATGCGCATACGCACGCACGCACGCACACGCACACGCACACGCACGCATTACACGCACACGCACACGCACACGCACGCATTGTGTGACCGCACACGCACGCACGCACGCACGCACACGACAAGCGTGAAGTGCGTGGATCTCGTACGAGAAGGAGAGGTGAAAGAGTAGGTCGAGTGCACCGACAGCCGGCTCAAAGAGGCGAGCCTTGGTGCGCGTGTGCCACGCCAAGTTGTCCAGTGCGGACAGGCATCGTTGCCGCTTGCCCAGGTCCTGGTGATGACGTCGATGGCGTGCCATGAGCGCATGAGTGCAAGTAGAGTGCGTTTTGTTGCGTGTTTCGTGCGTGTCGTGCGGTGCGGTCCAGGATGGTATACCTCTTCGCTGCTCTTGACGGTGGCGATGAGGCGGCGCAGTTCCTTTACCATTCTTTTATCGTTGAATCTCTTCCAGTCGCGCGGGAAAACGTCGCTCACTGCGCCACGCAGGCGTAGTGGAAGACAAAAGTGTTAAAAAAGTGCACAGGCATGGGCAGAGCGAATGAAAGCCATCGTGACGCATTTTGCGCGATTTGCAGAGATTTCTTCGAACAATCGGA